CTCCCATGCGACAATCTTGATCCGCCTCGAGATGAGGACCAGCACTCATTTTGTTTCGACTTTGGAATGCTTGTTTTGAGTCTTAAAACCAAAAATTAATATAGGAAAACTTGATCAAAGTTGTGCGAATTTCGCAAAATTTAAATATCTACATATTTTCTTGGCATAAAAAAATGCAATCCGTAATAATATGGTCTTGTGTTCAAAAAATAATGTGAGCCAGGGGAGTAGTTATCGGTAACTATTATTGATTAAATTTTCAACAACTTTTGTTTTAAAAATGATTGGGAAAATAAATTTATCTGATAAACAAGGATAGCCGTCTACTGTGCAAGGAGCACATAATGTTTCCACCATAGTCTCAGAAAAAAAAAACAAAAAAGTTTAATTGTAGTTTTTTTTTGCGTAGTGTGATAAAAAAAGGACGAAAAAGTAGAGCTTCGGAATAATCGAAAGTCATAATAAAGTATGAAATTTTGAAAACAAATTTTGCCGTAAAATGACTGCAAAAACAAAAAAAATCAAACTTTTTCAGAAAGCTATTAAGATAAGTTATCGTGAGCTTGCTCGCTTAATTTACCCGCTCGAATTTAGACGAAAAAGCAGAAATTTCAAATCGATTTTTCTCGAGGCCAGTTTTTCTGAAAAAAATTTAATGGCGTTCAAACACGACTGAAAGGCATTTAATGTATCACTCAAATGAATCCGGTGATTATGTGTGGATGCAAGTAGTGCGAGCAAAACAAAAAAATACAAAACCTAAAACACCCCAATACAATGTTCATCCCCATTTTGCAAATGATCGGAACAATGACATGAAATTTTATAAAATATCAAACTAAAAAATTTTTGGAGCTATACTCTAATGATGACTTATTGCGAAATCTTTATAACTCCATATGACGAATGCCGTCAAAACAATGAAATCCAAAAATTGATCAAAATTTTGATTAATTTTCAGACAATTCCATAAGTTCAGAAAGTTATAAAAGTGTTTTGAAGCAAGCAATTTTCCATAAACTAAAGTTATTTATTAATAAATATTTTCTCAGAAAATGTAGTATATATTGGATTCCACTGAAAAAAATTAAGCAAATAAGCTCATTCACTTTCAGTGAAATCCAATATACATGAAAAAAAATTTATATAAAACAAAAAAAGTCAAGTCATACTGCTTTTGTGCATACTGATTTTGCGTAGAAAACAAAAAAAATTAACACACCCGAATACAATGTTCCTCCCCAGTTTTTAAGTGATCGGAAAAAGTCCATAAAAAATTTGATTATATCAGATTTAAAAAATTTTGTTGCAAAATTCTGCTGATGACAGAGAAAAAAAATTGCGCAATAAGTTTAACCCGTATGAATGCCAAAAAAGGAAACCAAAATCTGATCAGAATTTTTTTTCTAAATTTTTGAAAAACGGATCAAAAAGATGCACATAAAATTATAGAAAATATTATAGCAAGCAGTTATCCATAAATTAAAATTATATTATAATAATTTGCTCAGCAAAAAAATTGTATTTAAAATTGGATTCCACTGAAAAAAGTTAAGCACAGGCTTGTTGATTTTCATTGAAACACACTGTGTGGAAAAATGATTAAGAAATTTATAAGAAAAACCAAAAAAATCGTACACAAAAAAAATCTTGATTCCAAAACAGCGCTAAAAGACTCAAAAAAATTAATAACTAAAACTTATTTTTTACGGCTGCTATTAAACTAATGAACTGAGCTATAGTAAGCCTGCTCGCTTGCTCTACTCGCTCAAAATGAGACGAAAAATCAAAATTTCATAAACAAGCTTTTCTCGACACTCAGAAAAACTTGAAAATTTTTATGTTGTTCGAACCACGACTGAAAATGTATAAATCTGTATATGACTCAACCCATTCCCATGATTATTTGTGGAGGCTGATTTTGCGTGGAAAACAAAAGAACAAAACTGAAACACACACTAATACAAAGTTTCTGCCCATTGTTCAAATCGTCGGAACAATGACATGGAACCTCAATTATATCAAATTGAAAAAATTTGTAGCTCAAATCTAGTTATTAAAAAATTTTGAAGCTAAAAAAAAATGAATATAATTTTTTTTGTGTTTTTTTTACATAATGGTTGCATCAAAACCATTTTATTGAAGAATTTTTTTTAAAGCATTTGTTTCGTTTCGATTGTTTCAGATAATGATTCATTTGAATAAGTTTGAACTACCAGAAAAGACGTTTTTTTTATTATTCTAGAGTTTAGTGTCATTTTTTGTGAGTGCTGTGATTTCAAACTAGTATGAAAACTGTACAAACGCGTAAAAACTCAAAAAAAAAATTAAACGCGTAAAAACTCAAAAAAAATTAGGCAAAGCAAAACTGACAACGGTTGTCTTCAACAAATGTAAAACAAAAAATGAACAAATTTCCAAAAGAATTGATTCATTTGCGCAATAATTTTATACATTTTTTTAAGAAAACGTTTATTGCCAAGGATGCTTTAAATGAAGCTTCCACAACCCATTTTCCCCTAGATGAAATTCAAATTTTTTAATCCGAATTCTTATTCTACGAATGTTACCCGATTGCGTTTCTCTCAAAAGTTTCATAAGCTTCAAAAGTTACAAAAGGCTTCAATGTGATAAGTCACTTGACTCATTTCGATGATTATTTGTAATACCTGATTTGGCGTGAAAAACAAAATTTAAGAACACGTCTGATTACAAAGTTGCTCCCATTTTCAGTGGTCGAATCAAAAAACCAACAGAGTTCTCACTACATTATATGGTTCTCTGAATTTTTTTTTTCATGTTTTGAAATAGCAAAGGCTAAAGTTTCGGATATGTTAAAATCATATAATACCTTAATTTTCTTCCACACCACTTCAAGGAAAAAAAACTTATAGGTTTGAGGTTTTTTTTTCAGTATGTATCAAAAAACATAAAAGTTGTATAAAAGAAACTTCAAGGGGCTACTTTTGTTTTACTTCTACTTAAGCAAATGAGTTTTCAAGCAAAAAGTTCTTAAGAACAGCGTCTTGCGGGTAACTTTCAGTGACTGACCTTAAAAAAAGTCGCCAGCTTCAGTTGACTCGATCATTTTGCTACTATATTTTTGTGCAAAAATTGTTCTGAGATTCGGCTAGGGACTTAGTTTAGTATTTTTTAGCCATTCTCCTTATTGTCTGAAAAGTTTGTTCTTTCAGTGTTTGTCACCAGAATCAAATGCAGATACAACATCGAAGTAGAATCTTTCGTTCAAATTCAATGCAAGTTGGGACAAAACACGGAACCGCAAAATTTGCTTTTGTAAAACGCAAAATTTCTCAAAGCAAAAACAAAAAAGCTATTTTTAGACAAGAGATACATTCTTAGCAAATACAGTAGCACAAAAAATGGGTTGAAGAAACAGAACATCCGAAGAATGTAATCGGTGAGTTGCACAAAAACTATTTTGTGAAAAAGTCTAATCTGGAAAACATTTGCTCATGGATACTGACATGTGTCTGGCAAATTTGCAGAAACCAACAAAAGCTTAAATAGTTTTTGGAAAAACTGGAAGTCGGGAACAACCTCTTTGGTTGCTACTATAAATTCAGCTTTATTCATATTAATATTGAATGAGCTCTTTTCTAGTCCCCCTAACAGTCCTTGTAACAAAAAACTATGCCCTCGTCCATCACTGTTATTTTTATTATTATGGGGCTATAACTTGCACATGTGGTTATTGTGGGATAAAGTCATCAAATGTTAGAGATCACAAATGATTTTCAAAAATCAGTTCCTCTCCCCTAATTAACAAAAATGTGCATTTTTTTCAAGTGTTTTACCGCGGTAAATACGTTCGGAGCTTCTGTATCAATCTTTTTCCTGTTTTACCGAGATTTTCAGGAAAAAATTATTTTAGCTTTATAGTTTTAAATGGCAAACTGCTGCAAAAATGAACAGGGCCACATGAAAACCGAGAGAAAGAATTAAGAAATTCGAAGCTTCATCTAGGTTTTGTTAGTTACGAAAGGTAGCAGAAGCGTTTGCAAAAGCTAGAGTTCAATTTTCTTACTAAATTAGTTCATTATCCATCAAGTCAATTCAGCCTTCAGCTAAACTTAACTGAGATTTGAAGCTGACTTTGAGGATTTGTTCACACTTTTATAAATTGTACGGCAAGTCTAGGCAATAACGCGATATGTCAACTTAAGAAACAGCAGAGTTATGTAGGCCAATTATATTAGTCTTTTTATCATAAAATTCTTCAGAGCGATTGTGTTTGGATGTGTATTTTGAACTCGGATCTCACAATAAACAATTAAGCTCACGCTCACGACTGACACCGAAACCTATTTGACTAATTTCGTCGCTCGGGACGCCGAATATATACATATATCTCAACTTGAGATTTTATTTAAATTATTTTCGCATCGGAAGATTTTTTGAGGTGTTTTTATCTCTTTTTTAATACAAATCGAATGTTAAGCATCAAAGTATACCTATCGCTCCTTTTACAGAATCCCCCCACACCTGGGCGATATTCGTTGCTAAATACAAAATTCACATAATGCTTAACCGTTGAGTTAATTCATTATAGAAAGTGGCAAATCGTTACTGGGTAACAAAGGAAAAAAATAGTTAAAGAGATCCCAAAACAGTTTTTATTTTTTTTATTAGGCCTCCATGAAGATAAATGAGCAATTTTTTATCAATGTTTGCGTTTTAAATAGCGCTTTATTTAGTTCAGTTTAAGCGATTACGTTTCGTTCCGTAGCTTTTAATTTCCTATAAAAGTCTGCACAAAGAAAATTAATTACAAATTCAGAGTATCTGCTTTTTTACCTCGTTTTTTACAAGTAAATAAAAAACCTAGTTGAATGCTGTACATTATTTTTATCTATCCTAGGACTTTCAAGCATTAAAATGGTTTATTGTAGTTAAGTTTGAGCTGTGACGCAAGACAGGATGTTGTGACATTTGCCAATGATTTGGTTAATATTTAACCTCGAACATTGCTCAAAGCATTCGCCCAAAACGTACCATTTATTTGCAAAAGCACGTGAATATATAAAATCTATCCAAGTTATTCAGAATTTGCAAATGTAAAACTCTTTAACTATTTAACACTGCTACATTATAAGAGCTCAACCTATCTTAAATCGATGAACTTGCTTTGAGAAAGCATACATTTTGATAGAGCTTGTCATTTTTGACTAGTTTGAAGTTTGTTTAGAACAAATTTTGATTATTCTTGTTTTCTTTTTGTCTTAGTTTCGAACGCACTTTATCGCCTTTGTTTCTGTACAATTTTGAACTGAAACTACCATTTGAATAAGGTTTTTAGAAGTCAGCTATTCAGAATCTTAAAACCTTCAAGTCTTCGAATAATCAGCCTCAAATGGCGTCATCGCAAATCAAAGGTAAGTCATTTTTTGTTGTCCTATATTTTACCCGGATAGACGCAATATATTTCATCGACTTTTTGTTCTGTCTAAAAACACGTGCAGAAATTTCAAAATCTTTTTCTTTCGCGAAAAGAAATTCCTGTCAAATTTGTCGTCAGGTTTTTCAAATGCTCCACACTAATAAAATTGTTTAATGATAAAATTTCTGATTTAAAAAAAGCTCGAAGCATTAATTTATTTTTAGCATCTCATTATATTTTTATTGAACCAGGATTATGTTTCTAGATCATTTAGTCAGCGAAATCTGAATAATTTAAAGGAATACAAAATTCTATCAGGAAGTTTTCATAATCAAGAATTTTGTTGCAAAAAAAACGTTTGAATTAAAAGATCAAAACAGCCGTTTTATATAGCAGAAACTTTCAATTGATGGCATCCTTATCATGTTTGTAGCTTCTCAGGATAACGCCAGTTTAATCTAAACCAATTTAAAACAACTTTCTTTATGAAAAAAAAAAACAGATATCGCCAAATAATTTTAGAAAAATTTCAATTGATTCATCAAAAAAACGTTTTTAGACCATTTTGATTTTTTAATCTCTAACTACTTTTAGTCAATTACAGGGGAAAATGCGTTATATGTTCTGCAATAAAATTTTCAGCGAATCGAAAAGTGTGCTTAACAAGGCCAAAAAAAAGTAAAATGAAAACTTCCGCCTCTAAAAAAAATTGTTCTAGTCTTTTATGTTTTGTATTCTCTCTGTTGTTCAGGTTTATTCTTTTCTAACTGTGAACTTATTTCACTCGCAATACTGGTCAGTTGAAAAAATGCGTTTCATTTTGCTTTACTGTGATCAGTTTTTCAGCACGAGACAACAATCTCAGACCAAAATTCTTTTTGGCAAAATTAAAATTATAATGCGCAGTTTTTGTTGACAAAACAATAAATTCGAGGAATTTCTCATTAAAATTGTTTGAAAGAGTCACTCCACAAAATTTGCCAAACATGTAATTTTCTTCACAAATAAGTCGCATTTTCACCCGGGGTGGTGATTTTATTCAGACCAAAATCAAAAAAGTTAACTGCTTGTGGGCATCAAACCGGCAACCTTCGGATTGCCAGGCGAGTATGCTTTCACTAGAATAATGTGCGGCTTGGCCGCTGGAATAGTACTTTGAACATTTGTTTCACAATGCAAATTATTTATGCTGGGAAAACTATCCGCACTCATAATCGTTCCAAACTGAATTGAGGCATTCGTTTCAATTTAAATTGACTCAATTTTTAACATTTTGGTATTATCAGCATGAAATTTGTAGTTTGTCAATATTTCATAGACCAAAATTTATTCAAGACCAATTCATGAGCAGTGGGAACATTCAGGGCTTTGTCTTGATACAAACAGTTTTTTTTATATCGCCTAACATTAAAGTTGCCTGAATTAGTCACCCCGATCTATTTGCGCTATAGCAAACGTGCTGAATGAACTGAGCACAGTGGAACAAAATGAACGGAAATTTTTCTTCCAACCAAAATTTCGCGTGAAAAAAAATACAAGCCCGAAAGAGTAAAATTGAAAGTTACAAAAACTTTAGTGACGGGAACAAGTTTTCTTAGAGGCGGACAAAAAATCTTGAAGCAAAAATTTATAGCCCTCTTGAACTGTGGGATAACAATAATGGCAACAAGTGGAAAAAATCCGCAAATTACTTTCAATCATCAAATTTTTCGCTTGCCTCAAATTGATTATGTCCATCATGTTGCAATAAAAAAATTCTACCGCAAAATAGAACGAGTGAATTATCTTTTTAATTTTAAGCTCAGGATAGCAATGTTTTTTTGAATGATATAGAAAAACTGTCAAAAACGACTAGTTGAAAAGTCAAAATTTGTCTGAAGAAAAAAACGATCTTGACGAATCTCCGTCAAAGCTCCTTCCAGACAAGAAAAAGTTTGGCTTTGTAAAGAGAGCTATTAGTTTTCTCTTTTTCCAAAAATTCGGTCATATTTTGTTTGTATTGAACACAGTTTTTGCCGCCAGTTCTTTTTAAAAATCGAAGAACATATTTATCTATATTTTTGGTGAAATTGAACTCTAAGCGTTCATCCAAAATTTTCCCGTGCTTCAGAGTTGCATCTTTCAATTACTGTTCATCAAGAAGGAATATGATCATAGTTTGTTCGTTAGAAGTAATTGAAGCTTATTCTGGCTCTTTCCCTTTGTTGACCATTCTCAACCTAAGCAAAAAATCACTTCCCTAAAACAGTTTTTTTTAAAATAATATGGTAGCTTTAAGTAGCCAGGATGGCTATGACGGTAAAATTTGTGTTTTTAGTTATATCGTATGATAGAGGAATGATGAGCTGGGCAGGTCTTATAGTTCATTAGTAGATTGGCTCTCAGTTTTTTTTAAATTGGTCTTGAAACACCTTATTAAGAGAGCATATATTTCTAAAAGTGCTAAGAGAGCTTGGACGGAGAAAGTTCCTAGATGTGCAGATAGCTATAGTTTATTATATAGGTACGTTTTTAGTGGCCACCATTAAGCCAGCGGCACGTTTGAAAGTTTCACGAATGAACGCTCCTTTGGTAGCGTTTGAGTATTGACTTTTTGTAGCTGTTAAAATCTATTTTGATCAAACTGTAGAAAAAAGATTTGAGAAATTATAACTCTTTGTGTGACTGATCTCGTATTATACATAGGCCATCTGATTATAAATAGACTTTCAGTAGAGACAAAGATATAAATGTTCTTCGATTACAATAAATTTAATAAACTCTGCTACAATTGTCTTCACCGATATACCATAAAATGTATGAAAAAAGAGAAAAAAAAACAAAAAACCGGGAAATTACGAATTTTCGTAAAAGCGTTTTTAGGTTTTGCAAATTTTTAATTGCTATCTGCGCTTATGGATAGCAATTAAGCAACTAAAAAGTTGTAAAACCAAAATTTTCTCACTAAGCTCGTCATATCGCGTTTTTTTCTCAATTTCAAAACTTCAAAACTGTTTTTTTTTCTGTGTTGGACAAGACAATCGAAGCGGGGATATTAAAACTCTTGTAATTGGAGCACTGTTATATCAATGTATTTTTTGTTATATACTGTTTGTTATTTACTATTTTTAGAACTTGTATTGTATGACTTTACTCTTGCTGCAGATGAGTTATCGTGGCAGTTATGATCTTGTTTTTTCAGCTTTGTCTCTGCTGGTGTTGTGTGTCCTCTCATTCACGAGTGTAAAATCGGACCAAGACAGCGAAATAGACCCAGTGACCGAATTTGTGAGAACAAAAATTAAACAAATCATATTTCGTGATTGAACAAAAATATATCTGATTGTTCTTGATTGTGTTCAGGTTCCGAGCGCTTTGGGCAAAGTACAGGTTTCTAGTCAGAATGATGCCGGCTTTACCTATCTGTATGCAGAGTTCGAGGCATCCTTCACCATTCCATATAAAGTAAGAATCTTACCAAAAATTGATCGGCTGAGAAAGCGACAATCTGTGTTCTGTTCTCAATCTTTGCTTTTTGCACAATCAAAGCCTTTTCTGGGCCACAAAGCAAGTAATGCAATTCAAAGATAGGAAAAACGTGAAAAAAGTAAATTTTTCAAACGAAAATCAAACTTTTTTAGTATCACAAAAAAAGCAGTCCTCAATGAAACCACTTTATTGCGGTTTTTGTACCAATTTGAGATATTCATTTTGAGACGGAAACTAAAATTTTTCTAAAGGCGCCTATATTTGCTACTTTTGATTTTAAAGGGGAAGCGCACGTCAAAAACACGCGATTTTTTGGCAAAAAGTTTTTCAAAAACAGGGTCTTTTTAGTGCTTTAGGAGAGCTCGGAATTTTTTTTGACCCCCCCCCCCCCCTCCTCATGAAAATCCTAGATCTGCCCGTTTAGAGGCAGTACTTTTTATTCGTTGAAAATCCGTATCATTTCATTAGTTATTAGTTTAACTATTTACCATGTTACCATGCCCTAAAACTGTTCGTTTAGAACTCTACCGAGGATGAACTGGACGCAGAAGTGAACATGCCTGGAAACGCAAGCTGCAGTGGTGCTTATGATTCGTCGGACTGCGATAGCATCTCACTCAACTGTACGTGGGTGGCCGACAACACTAAGCCCGAGGAGGAGTGGGAGTTCAGCATGGTGAGTAGACGAGAGCGACACTAGTCGCACGGGCCGAGGTACGCGACTTAAGTCGCGACCATCGCTACCCAAAATCAATAAGATGCTACCGTCGCGACTCAAAATGGGCAAGTCGCGGCCGAGAAACCTCTGTGCGACTGCAGAACTTTGGTCCAGCGATACCCTTTAGCTGGAGCATTTTCAGTCGCCAATTATGTCGCGCACCTCGGCCTGGACAATAGAGGATGTTTCTTTTGCAAGATAATCTAAAAAGATGCACCAATGAATTTTTATCAAGGATTACAAAACAGTATCAAAGTTAAGGCGACTTTAAATCAATGTTCGTAATTAAAACATTCAATTGCTACATGCGGATTTAACACAATCAGTATGAAAAAGTATAGCCAACGGTTCTGCTGACAAAACTGCAGAAAATGTCGGATTGTATGTTATTACTTCAAGTAGATACTCTTTTTATTGGGAAACAATTTTTCAGATTTTCCTAGGCGAGGTTCGGACCCGGTTTACAGCATCGAAATACCTCGATTATACACGCTGAATTAACGTTTTTAGAAGCCTCAATTAAACCATAAAAACCTCAACAAAATTGTACGTCAATTTTTTTCTTGCTTTTGTGCTATGCAATACCTCTTGTCTGTCTATTGAGATGATCTTACAACGTAGTACAAGATAGACTTTCTTGATTGGATATGGGTAAAATGCAGAAAAAAAGCTGCAAACTGAAACCAAGGAATTGAACCAAAAACGAAAGCAAGAATCTCGCGCCGAGATACTGAGAGGTCTAAGAGGATACTAAGAATCTCGCGCCGAGGTTCTCAATTAATGACAGATGAGATATTAGGTTAAATGATTTCTTCGGTAGAGTATTGCTTGAAAGACAGATTGTCCGCACCCGCTATTGTAGATCCAAACAGACTGGAACCCCTTTTTTGCTGAAAGCAGCTTATCTATTTACACCTATTTATTTTTCGAAAGGAACTTTGAAAATCTACAGAACCTCACAGAAGAGCAATTTTACGCAAATGTTACTTTGATGTTCTCAATGAGGATTTTCAATGGCAATCCAAGAGACCAATACACACTAGCCAGAACCTTTTGTTGGAAGACTTAGTTGGCTTCGTCCATAGAAGCAGTTCCAAAGAATATTACTTCCAGGCCAGAATATCTTCTCAGAATTCTGTTTGAAGCAAAGTGACTGGTTCCGCCAACTAGAGAACAGTTTCAGGTGAATTAGTCGGCTTCGCAGTAAAAATCGCTACTGTTCGTCATATTTTCGAGATGAAGGATATTTTTGACCAAATAAGTGAGAATACGACTGATGCTTTTTCTTAACGCTGCAAGCAAGTTTATTCAGATTTTACAGAGAGCGTGTCTTATTGCGATTGGGCTGCCTCGTTTAAGACGGTGTGTATGACGGCCAGTCGAAAACTAACGCGGTAAGACAGTAGAGAAAAGCGCATGGTAACAATAACAGAGAGCAAGTAGTTGTTCGGTCATTAGTCCTACCCCAAATTACACCCGCTACCCCTCACTCGACTCACTTCTGTTTATTGAGACGCTTGGTTAGTTTCTCTTGTTATATATATTTTTTGTGTTTTAATGGCTGTTACATGTTTGTTATGGCACAGCAAGCAGGAAACGGCGCGGGAACGGGGAAAAGTCCTTAAGGAATTACAGCATTCTGGCCGAGTAAATGCACGGAGGCACCAGTGCTGTGGGAGCACTGGATAACCCGCTTTACTTGGGGAATAATTGCAAAACATGGATTCAACCCCACATCATTTTTTACGCCAAAAAAATGACGGCAGCACAAATTACGGAACTATCGGCGGGCATACTTAAGAAAAGCCGTTTGGAGGCAGAGCAAACCCTATTTTCGAACCTGTACTTATTTTTGGGCGAGACCTTGCAAATATACGATAACCGAGGCTAATGGACGCGTTTGAGGATGTATTTAGAAAAAAAACGTAACAAAACGTTCGAGACGTACCAGTTATTGTCAAGGAAGAAACACAATTGGGAATCGTTGGAGATGTTTCACTCAGTACTCAACGAGTTGGCGGCGCGGTTTAATTTGCGTACCAAAGGCAACAAAAGCAACTCACAATTTGTTTTAAAAATCAGGGCTTCAAGAACGCACGTGTTGGGTACGGAAAGTCACCAAAAGATACCGCATAGGTCCTATCACGGTGATGCCATGTGGATCGACAGCAGTTCGACGATATCTAATCTCCTTATCGGGAAACTTAAACATACTTTTGGTGCCCAGTGAGTGCGATTGACACCAATTGATACAGATGACGGCCAGTTCCGGGATGATTGGACAAATCCACTGAAATTATTGGTTGAGATGAAGGCGACGCTCTGCTCCAAAGAATGGTTGATCGAAGCTGCTTTTACCTTAAATGAGGGGTGCAGAACTTAAATTATCGGGAAGAACATAATGACAGCACTGGGACTCAAGCTGTCCCAAGCACCGGTGAACGAGGGAATAAAGAACATCTACGGGCAACTCGCGCAGAACGAACAAGGAGCAGGGCTGGATGACGAACAAAAACATTTCAGCAAGCCATTCAGTAATGTGTTTAACAGGATTGAGCGCATACGTAACGATAAAATCCAAGAGGAATTCTTGAAGAATCAAACTCCGGTGCAACAAAAAGGCAGAAGAGTACCAATCACCCTTCAGGGTTAGGTGGATAAAAAATCATTAATGTATTGAAACAAGGCCATTTAGAAAAATTGGAAGAACGTTCAGATACATATTTTAGAATCAAGAGAACTAAGCAAGTTCATAAGATAAAATAAAAAATTCCAAACATCGAGGAGTTCATAGACATCGCTGCGCAAAAGATTGGAAACAGCATTATCCGGGGAAGTAATTTTCACAATGATGGACCTAACAGACGTACATTGGCATTTGCCAAAAGCCAAAAAATATTCAAAAAACCGTACAGATTTGAAACGGGTTTCTATGGTCTAATGATTGCCCGCGGAATTACAACGGGTAAATGATGCAATTTTCATTGGTTTCCTGTGCCCGCATGCTTTCAAAGATGATTTCCTAAAAATATGAGGAGGTTTCATAGTTGAACACATCCAATTGATTTCGAAAAAGCTGGATAAAGATACTAAGACTCTAAAATTGCAAAAAAAATTGAGTTTTTGCGAAAAAAAGAAGTGTGAATGGTTGGGCCATTGCAATACGCACTCATGCATTACGCCGGTTGTCAGATATACGGAGCCCATCAATGTGTTGAACCCACCGAAAACACCCCCTTGCTGTTAAAATCGTTCATGGGGTCAACCCTTAGCCTGCGAAATTTTTTACCGGCCTTAGCCAATTATTCGGGGCCCTTAAGTACTATGCTCAGTAAGAGAAACGAATGCATATGGAAAACTGGCTGCCAATCAGCATTCGCGAACCTCAAAAAGAGGGTTGCAATCATTGATGAATTAAAACACTTTGGCGTTTGCAAGGATTGTTGGATTGTATGCAATCAGAGCCAGAACGGCCTGAGCGCGGTTCTCGCACATATTAGCACGAAAAGTTAGAGGCCATTTTCGTTAGCCTCCAGGTTCCGAAACGCGGCGGAGAAAAAAAATTATTCGAAAAATGAATTAGAGATGCTGAGTGATGTGTGGGGGGCCGAATGAAATTAACAGAAATTAATAGAAATTACATCTTTGGAAGACATTTAACAGTTGCGACGGATAAAAAAGCACTCATTCGGCAAAAATCGGGATATCGGAATTTTTGTCTGGACACCTCGTTTGTGAAGCATCGCTTGTTAGTGCTTAAAATAAATTTTTCACCATGACAAAATTGGAATCTATCAAAGACAATGTTTTAGAAATTACATCTTTGGAAGACATTTAACAGTTGCGACGGATGATAAAGCACTCATTCGGCAAAAATCTGGATTGCGGATTTTTTGTCTAGACACCTCGTGGGTGAAGCATTGCTGGTTAGTGTTTACGATAAGTTTTTCTCAATGACAAAATTGGAATCTATCAAAGACACCTCGTTTCTTCAAACGTTAAAAGGCCGCCAGAAGATATAATATTGCCTTAATTTCTTTATCATTAGGATTGATGTTTGAGCCAATGAAGCGTGCATTAGGCAAATACGAGGCTAAAATGACGTCGATTGAAGGCGGAAAGTAATGCGCTGCAAATTCAGCCAACCAGAAGGCGATACTTCGCGTTTCGTAGTGCAACGGATGAAGAGGCGCTAAAGTACTCTAAACCATAACAGATAACGACTTAAGTGAGTCAGGTAAAAATGAGACAAAATCTCCATATTGCTCAAGTTTTAGGTCCTACTTGATCTTCAATATAAAGAAACCAAATAATACATTTTGTCAATATCTAAAGATCACGAGGTCGATCAGCTCGGAAATTGAATTGGTGGACGCCAGCTCAAAGCGATAAAATCTAGAAGCAGCGATGTGAAAACCAACTTTGTATTTTGATTTCACCGGCGTTCGCAGGAGAGACTTTTCCGACGGCGTGATTTTCCAAATCTAGTAATGACTGTCATCCCATGCCAATGTTTGATGTTTGTGAAAAACGGAAGAAAGCAAATACGCAAAAGAAGAAGGGCGCGAAAACTTAAAACAAATGCTGGAATGCACACTTGGCGTTCTCAGGTTGCCACCTAACGCAACAGTAAAAGCGTCGCCAAGCGAAGCTCACCACAGCTGCGAAACTAACACGGTACTAAGGAACTTAACGAAAGAACCGTCACTTCAAATTATACGTTGGAATGAAAAGTTGAGTAAAAAATCTGCCTTCTTAGATATTCAAGATCCTCGTACTGGCTGTTGTCCACGCCCAGTGTGGACCAAAAGTAATGAACAATCGGCTGAGGAGTACGATGTTGAACACATTAAGCAGCCACGGAAGTTAACAGAGGACTAGCTGGTCAAACGAAAAGGAGGACAGCTTGGCGCCGACGGCGCAAGCGCTGTCACCAAAGGCTCAGCGAAATTGCCAAGCAGGAGGACGGAATTTTTGCTCCAAAGGATTGAAGATCAAAAAACAATAGGAATTGACTTATAGATAAAACAGTCAAATGGAGTCCAAACATATTATTGCACTAGATAACGGTTTTTGAATTAGAAAAAGCGGTGTGACAGAAGAACGAGTCAGTAAACTTGAAATTTCACGCACAACGCAGGCGATTGGCTAACTGGATGAAAACTGTGTCACGGCGTTGGCTTTCGAACCCAAATTTTTGCCATGTGGAATAGAGGCGAGGTAATGATTTTTTGAGGCCTGTCAAGCACGATCAAAACGGGGCAATCAAAACTGCATGGCCTTCTCAGCGTACAAGAAACTGATGGACCGGACGATAGACCCCTCATGTAGACGATGGAACCAAGATAGAGACACTGTTGAACACCGGCTAGACTGCCCTGACACCGCAGCTACTAGACAGGAGTTATTTGGAACCATCAACACCGACCTTGACTTTCTTACCCGATACCCGACCGAGACGTTAACGTTGGCAGCGAGGACATTGCCAAAAAGCATTCCCCGCTGACGTATATCATATTCAACAACAACAACAAGAAGAAGAGCAGCGAGCAGGCCTAGTTCGCCTGCGAGAGGAAACAAGACAAAAAAACGGCGTCCGGCTAAAAACTGTACAAGTTTTGGGATTGACGGAATGAAACGACAATTATAACTGCGGCATCGAAAAAAAAAATGTAACGGGAAAAAGAAAAGGAGGCAAACAGACCAGAGGAAGGCTAGGCGAGGAAGCCGGGATAGATTGACCCGCGGAGGAGGACGCAGCAAGCAGCGGAAAAAAAGGTGGACGGTCAATAAAACAGCCCTTGGTTTTTCATTCGAGTCGAGAATCACAAGGTTCGTACAAAAAATAATTGCAAAAAATTTCACATATACGTACGGCGGTCTTTAATTTCGGAGGGCTGATGCTCGACAAAAACGTTTGAGAGGAGAGAAAGAAGGAGAAGGAGTACGAGACAACATCTGAGGATAGACGTGAGGATTCGATCCGGGGGAAAGACTATTAAAATTAAACACCCAGGCAGAAGGTTGACCTACAGTTTTAAACTCAAATCAGATATCAGTTTTCTCTAACTTTAAATTATGATTTACAGTTACTAAGCAGAGGGAAATTTTCCTAAGTATATTTTGTATAACTTTACTTTGAATAATTGATCTTGAATTTTGATTTTTTTGTCTCCTTTGGAGCTGTCTGTCACTTTGATTAGAACCAGCCACTTTGTCATCCAGTGTGTTGAGTTCGGAAGCAGTGTTGTGATATGTTTTTAAGATTGCAGTTGGGGACAATCTATATCATTGAGATTCACGTATTGAGTACGTCGTTTTTGCCTTTTGACTAATTGTGTGCTTTACATTGCAAAGAATGAGGAACAAACTTGTTAGAAATGATCTGCTGTCAGGTGTTCACTGTGACTGAGAACAAAGGTGACAAGACGGTCTCGTGCAACCTGGATGAGCAGGACAAGTGGGACATCGAGTACAAGGTCACGGGAATCACTCTGAGTTTCTACATGGGGGAAAATTATTTCCCAGATGGAAAGCACGTGCGCTTGAACCACACAAGTAAGCACTAGTAGTTGCTATAGTAACTTCTCCCTAATGATTTTGTTTTTGTTATTGTAGAAATAGTTTGAACTATAATCAGCTACACCAAACTGATGATTAATTTATTCGTTAAGCCAGTTTAAGACAAATGTATAACTTCGTGTAACCATCTTTATAGTTACAAAATTGTTCGAAAACAACCATTACAATGGCCAAACTGTGCACAGGATAGGCGCACATTTTGGTGTCTGTAGGTCACTGGAATCCAGAGGCAAATCTTTCAATATGTTCCAAAAAACTTATACTTTCATTTCTGCTCTTACGCAGTTATGAACAAAATTTTATTTCAGTTTTAGCCAATAAAAATATGATTTGCTCTCTCCGTTTGAGGGAAAGTTTGAAAACGTGTTTACTTGACGAATAAGTGCTGTAAGCTAGAACAGAATCCTTTTTTCGTTTTTAGTAGTCAATAATTTTTCACAAAATGATTGATTTCAAAAACGAAAAAAGATTCTGTTCTAACTTTACAACACTTATCGTCAAGTAATTTCGAATTTTCCCTCAAAAAGTGATAACAGCATTATATTTTTATTGATAAAAACTACTATAAAATTCAATTAAAAACTTCGTGAGAGCAAAAAAAAAGTTTTTTTTTCTTTTGTTTTCATTTAAATTATTTTAGTGGTGGAGGCGGGCAACTCGAGTCTGTCTCTGTTCGAGGTGAGTGGGGACTCCTCCTACAAGTGTGAACACCTGCAGACAGTGGATGTGCTGGACTCCTTGGTGAATATTACTCTGGGTGTGAATCTGCAAGACTACCAGGTACAGGCGTTCCAGATCTCATCAGAGAAGGACACGGCCGAATTCGACACAGGTATACCTCTCATTGATTGGATTCGCTGTTGAGTTTTCTATTCTTTTTTTTCTGCTGCGTTGAACATCTGATAAATTGCTCAAATCTGATTGGTTAAAGGTAACTCAACTGAAGGAAAAATTGGAAGTTAAGGGTACAAATAAACTTAATTAGCTAACCTTTTTTCTTCTTTTAAGGAATTTCAGTCGTCATTTTTGTCGAGGCTCAATAAAATGCTTTGAAACGAGATGAGTGCAAGAGAAAAAATGGATAACAAGGGAGACATTTTTCCGCAGCGAACATGGCGCGGGGGGGGGGGGGGGGGCGCACGTAATGAATATTGTTTTTATAAAATTTATATTGAATTTGAACAACTTAACTGATTGGCAATTCTAACGCCGAAACACAAACTTTTACATTTTGAAAAGTGTAAGGTTTGTTGTTAAAGTTAATTTAAAATTAAAAAAAAAACGATTATTTTCTGTTATACGCCCAAAATTATCAAACTAATAATTCAGCTTCTGTTTTCATTGAAAACCCAGATTTCTTTTCGCTGACATTAGGCTCAACCAATCAGATTTGAGCATCATGATCAAACATTCAAAACAGCTAATAGAATTGTTTTTGGGCCGTAAAACAGAAAAGACCCAAACTTTGATCGTTTGTTTTCCCAAATTAGCTGTTATTTTCCAGCCATAACTTGTGACCTGGACGAGGAAGGGAGCAGTCTGGTGCCGATCATTGTGGGATGTGTGCTGGCCGGACTCATTGTCCTCACCCTCATCGCCTATTTCATCGGCAGATGGCATCAGAACCGACAGGGCAACTACCAGGCACTCTAAATCAACCCCTCCCCCGCACATCTGTCCAAACGAACCAGCATGGACCCAATTTAAACGACTAAACTCAACCTCAATGTGATTGGAGGACGAACTCATTTAAACGCACGACATCATATGAAATCATAGCATGACACACCAAAAAAATACAGCATCAAATTGAAAACATCAATTAAGATCCTCACAAACTAACATTGATTTAGAAAAAGAATCAATATTGTTGATTCACGAGCATCTATGTCTCATAGGTTTTTTTAAATCGATTTTTGCCAAGAAAATCATGAACGATTATTTTTCTTATAAATACGAGATCTGATAGTAAAGTTTAATTGAGTCTGCTGCTTCATTATTATTGTGACTTAGATTTCATCAAAAGAGTAATAATTTCAACTGTAATAATTTTTTCTGTAGTATTGATTTTTCTTATATCATATTTTTTAACAAAATATTAAATTTTCTTCACTTGAGAGAATGCCGCGCTACGGCTTCCTTCCATCTTCTGAAATCCAGGCAACCCTGGCAAAGAACTGCTGTTTCTTCAAAATTTTGAGTTGCCGTAATACATATTATTAAAAAACGCTAGTGTGTTTGATTGAAATATTAAAATCAAGGATCTCCAACTACGTACTACTTTCTTCAAGATTTTTCAAGAGTTTGACGAAAACTAGCAGAAAACTTAGTCTTAAAAGTTCTACTGATTCTTTTGGAATCTTGGGGTACCTGTCGCAATTTTAAGGAAATTTTTTTCCTTTATTTTGGAATTTTCTGCTTGAACACTTATACTCCTTATTTTTCTTTTTGAACTTCTAAACTTCTATAAACGTTGATGAAACAGTAAAAATTCAATTATTAATCAGTGATTTATTTAAAAAATTTTTTAGATGTAAGACTGCATATTTACAGACAAAATTGAATTATTATGACATCATTGGGACATAAGAGGCAAAGCGTCAGAATAATAAAACAAACAGATGAAAAATGAGGCGCCCCACAAAACTGCAACTTGACTTTTGCCTAAGTTCAACTTAAAGGGACAACTTTAGTTTTTGTTCCGACCATTGAAAATTGGGAGGAACTTTGTGTTCGGGTGTATTGTAGTTTTTTTTTGCTCTTTGTTTTCCACGCAAAATCAGCTACCACACTTAATAATCGAACAGGGTTGAGTGATATATCATATAAAAACCATTTCAGTTGTGATTCGAAAAACATTTTAAAACTTTAAAAGTTTTCACAGTGTTGAGAAAAACCGGTTTGAAGTTTTTTATTTTTGGTCTAATTTCGAGCTAGTTAGTAAGGTAGTTAGTAAATGCAATAGCTTATTTAAACTGAATTTAAGCCGTGAAAACTTGGAATCAGAAACTTGAAAGTTATTTAAAAAATCTTGCAAAAAATGTTTAAAATTTTTTTGAAATATAAAAAAAAATTTTTTTCGTTTTTCTAATCATTTTTATTCAAAACTGTTTTCCAATTGACTTATTTTACTATGACTCTCGAATATGCCTTAGTTTTGTGTTTTCGATCAAGTTTTTTTAATCACAACAAGCAGAAAAAAAATTGACACCAATTGGAGAAAACGTTTTTGTATTTTCATAAGACTGTGGTCGGAACATTCTGTGCTGCTTGCACAGTAGCCGGCTATCCTTGTTACAATTGTGATAGTGTGCGAGGACGAGCTCTCACTTGACCTCTAGCTTCAGGTATACCTCAACATGACTACTTTCGACTGCAATACTGGTACCACGTGAGAAAATTAGAAGCAAAAAATGGCCTTGAGTCGCATTAAAGAGCCTCGCTCAACAAAGTAACTGAGTGTGGAATGAAGGTAAATAAATGTCTCCAAAAAAAGAGGTCGAAGTCCACTTTTTCTGAATTTCAGGCGTTTTTAATCCTCCAAAAACCTGATTTTAACGTAACCCACAGACAAAAAACACAATTTTTTGAATTTTTCAATAAATAGATATAAACTCAAAGAAAGCCGGTTGCTGCACAAATAGCACAAAAAACTGAGACCAAAAAAACAACGTCATTTTTTCAAATTGCGTCGTTTTTTTTAGTTCGTAGTGGCTGTAACATTTTTAAAAAAATCCTAGAAATTTGACATTAATAGTTAATTGGCACATTTGACATCATTTTTTTTCTTCATAAAAACAGAAAAAACATTAAACATTTTGATCATTTTTTCAAATTCTTTTGCATCTTACAGAAAAATGACCCAAGCAAAATTGCGAAAACGTTTTTTCTAGGAATGATACTTGAAATTATTTTCATTATAAGCCTGCACGCTTGCTTTATTTGCTCGAAATTAGGTTGAACATAACACTTCAAACCGGTTTTTCATAAGATTTGGAAACTTTAAAAAAACTGTTTTTATCTCAACTGCAAAGACTTGTTTGATTTATTCCTTTATAATTTTGGTGCTATTTGGGTTACCTGATTGCGCGAGGAAAAAAAAGAAGGAAAAACTAAAAAAAACGCGAAGACAGACTTCCCCGTTTTCATTGAACTGAATAAAAAAGTGTGTGGTAAAATTTCTTGCACAAAAAGACTATTAGAATGTTAGAAATTCGAAAAGTTTTTTGTGTTTACATACCCCTTTCGATAACAGGTTTCGTGAGTTATTATTCTCTGACTGAAATGTCGGTTCACTGTCACAAGCCATTTATAACAAAATTTTAGTTTAAAGAAAAGACGGCTGGTAGTGCAGCAGGGCAAAACCCCGAACAATCCGACCATTTCATATTTAGAACTTAGAGATCATTGCATGAATTTTGTAGGTCGATTTTTATCCCCAAGCATGGAAAGAAAACAAAATCATCACCTCAAACGTAATATAAACTAGAAAGTGATAAATGTTGCTCCAAGTAGAAAAATCAATTAGGGCAAAAAGGCTTACTTCAACCAATTTGAAACGATTTTTAAGACGCATTAAATGAAATATATCGCGCATTTATTGTCCCAAATTGAACAAAGAGGCAATCTTTAAACCCCATAACTTTACAAATAATGGTTGCAGGTGAAATAATTCTTCAAATTTAAGCTCATGACAACAACACATTATAAATGTTTTTAAAAAAACGTCAAATATGGTTAGTTAAAAATTCGAACTTTGTCTGAAGAAAAAAACCACCCGAGCATAAATTTTCCGTTACTTTCGTTACGAAACTGGAAACGAGACTGCTCATATCAGGTTAGAGCCCTGATTTTTCCGACTACCTGTTAAAGTCAATGAGGCAGTAATGACATGAAAAAAAATTCAATTTAGTAAATTAATTTTTTCTTAACTTTTATTTTTTTTGTCCAAAAATCATCACCCCAAACGTAATATAAACTAAAAAGTGATAAAAATTGCTCCAAGTAACAAATTAGTTAGGGCAAGTAAGCTTCCTTCAACCAATCTGAAACGATTTTTAAGACGCATTAAATCTCGCGTTAATAGCGGGAAATTTATCGCGCATTATTTGTCACAAATTTGCCAAAATGGCAATCTTTAAAACCCATAACGTTACAAAAAAAATCACAGGTATAATATCTTTTGATATTTTTTCTATGAAAATCATACCCCACGCGCAATATAAACTACAAAAAAAATAGTTTTCGCTCCTTGTAACAAATTAATTATGGCAAATAAGCTTTTTTCAACCAATTTGGAACGATTTCTCAGACGGATTAAATCTTTGCTTACGCGTTAATCGCACGAAATATATCACGCGTTAATAGCGCGAAATATATCACGCATTAATTGTCACAAATTTGCCAATCTTTAAACCCCATCTCTTTACAATAAAAGATCACAGGTGTAATATCTTTTCAAATTTATGCTCTTGATTTGTCACAGGGGAAATATCTTTTCAAAGGGGAAAATAAATTATGGCAAATAAGCTTCCTTCAACGACTTCGAATTGATTTCTAAGACGCATTAAAAATCCGCTGACGCGTTAATAGCGCGAAATATATATCGCGCGTTAGTTGTCACAAATTTGCCAAAACGGCAATTTTTAAGCCCCGTAACTCTACAAAAATTGACCACATATGAAATATCTATTCAAATATAAAATCAGGACAACAATACCTTTTAAATGATTTAAAAACTGTCAAAAATGGTTAGTTAAAAAGTTGAATATTTTCTGAAGAAAAAAACAACACGAGTACAAATATTCCGTTACTTTTGTTACAAAACTGGTGGGAACAAGACTGCCCATGAAGTTTCCGATATTCCGACTGTTGTTTGAGTTCTATGGACCAGTAAAAACATGAAAAAACTAAATGTAATAAAATAAAATGGATTTTTTTAGTTTGAGGTTTTTCGTGAAGAGCATGACATATAAAGTACAAATTGATCATTTTCGCTCCTAATAATAAACCAATTAGGGCAAAAAATTTCCTTCAACTATTTTGGAACGATTTCTGAAGCGGATTTTATCTCCGCTTTCGCGTTGATTGCGCGAAAACTATCGCGCGTTGAATGACCGCAAAATCTATTGCGCGTTAAATACTCATTTGACGGATTTTTTATCAGGGATGGGGAATAACAAGGTTTTCTGGTGAGAACGGCTGTCAGCTCCACTCCTGCTTGAGGTTCCGTGAGTAAAACATGTGACTTTAAACTGAGCGAGTAACAAAAAGAAATTGATGGCTCAACAAATACGAGTTCAGCAGTTGAAAAAAATCAACGGGACATGCAGGAACGACTGCGTGCTCAAAATTGATATTCAATAAAAGAAAGTAAAAGAGTATTGAATCTTTCTTAAAATGCGCGCGATGTGAGAGACGTAACAGTGGAAACCTTTAAATTGTACAAGAGTCTCTTGGGTATAACAATCAAGTATGAAGGTGTGAAAGCTTGCCATGTCCTGCCTGGAGATCCGGGTAATTTACTTCTCAGCGTAATTTGTAAATTCATTCATTTCGAGGACAAAACGCAAGCCTGGAAAAAAAGAAGGGCTCTTAGCAAAATGATCAAACCCAACAAACAAAAAGTTTATTGTTTTGAACGAAACATTGCCAGAAGCTGACGCGGAGATCAAAGCAACTGCTGTTCTTATGGGATTACACACGACGGTGACCAACAATTGCATTGTGTCAGTTGCAGTAAGTGTTGAAGTTGGATCGAAAAAGTACATAAAAGTCCATAGCTTCGATGATCTCAAGAAATTGGACCCAAATGTGATCAAACGAGATTTTGTTGAGGCTTACAACAGCAGCGGGAGTGCAAATGATAGAGTGTCACTAGAGGGAAAAATTATATGTGAACATTTAATAGACTCATAAACTCTACACAGTTACACGAACTGAAAAATTTTGTTGAGCATTTCATACTTTCGGTTAAAATAAAATAAAAAATATAATGAGTTGATACTAAAGCGCCGTGCAACTCTGCACTAACTAAATTTTGATGTATTAATTATACTATTGCTTTTATGTTTTTCGTTTGAACTCTGAGAGGGAATTTCTGGTTTTCTCCCCACTCTTTTGATTGGGGAGAAAAAATTCAAATAAATTAAATTGTCAGAAACAACTTAACCCAAAACTTTTTCTTACTAATTCCTATTGTCAGAAAAAACAAATTTCAGATTGAACTCAGACGGTCAGTTCCATTTGCCGTTCTTGTGATAACGCGAGCGCTCCAGGTTGGTTGGATTAATACAACTTCTAAGCCTGGGAGGGGTCTTATGACCTGGTCATTTGAGTAAACTTTGTGATAATGCGGAGTAAACCATAAAATAAAATTTATCTCAAAGTTACAGTTATTCTAAATTTGAGTTTTTTTTATGTAATACTTGGACATAAGTGAGTAATCTTCGAGTCTCTACAGCGAAGAAGTGTAATAAAAAACACTGCAGATCAAAAAATTTTCTTTTTTTTCTGAAACAGCCAAGTTAGGGTTATTGTTCACATACATGAACAGCGTTTAAAACATAAGGACGTATAAGGTAAAACTTTCAGGTCAACTAAGGTAGTTTGTGATTTTTTGACCCTCTCTCTCTTGTTTTTTCCCCTAACGAGACATACAAAGCAGTATATCATGAATACCACCGAGCAACTTTTTTTGCAAAATATTACATCGTTACCAAAAAGCCTGGAAGAAGTTGAATATAGCCTAACTCAACTAAAATATTTGCATAGCGTTATACGTTGCACCGAATCTTGGCTTTCACTAAAGCAATTTCAAAGTTTTTAAAATCAATGAGTATCAACTTCTCCTTGAAAGTTGTCGTAAGCTTATGGGAGGAGGCGTATGCTTATATATAAAATGTGGAGTAAATTAAGACACAAAAAAAATAACCAGCACTAACAATGTTCAATTATTATGCAGCAAAATTACAAATAAAAAAAAACTTTAAAAATCAGACCTTTCTGATACTACAAAAAAATTTGGATGATATTATAGTAGCACCATCTACACATCACTTACTTTGTGGAGACTTTAATATTGGTATTTTAAGAAAAAACCAAAGACTTTCTGAATTGATAAGCAATTTAATCGGAAAAGATCTCTTACTGCAAAAAGGAAAACAAGCAACCAGAGAAATTGAGACCAGGAAGACGTGTATAGATCTGATGTTTCCAATGTAAGATAATCAGTAACCATCTTCAAAAAATCGATAACTGATCACAATGGGGTGATTTTAAACGCAACATCACAAACATAAAAAATGAATCTTTCATTACCGAAATCAGACTATGAAGCAAACTTGAACCGCAATCTTTTCTGAAAGATCTAAATGAGTCTTTATATGAAAACTTATTCAATGTTGAAACAAAAATACTCAAATGAAAGGCTATGAGCTTTTTTGTTGCTGAAAGAAAAACTAAGAGAGTTGAATTTAAGTTGTTATCTTTCTAATCTTATTCTCAACTAGCGCATACGCTTTACTAGACATAGATTATACCTCACCTAACGGATGAGGGTATAACAACCCCGATGCCCAATTGCAAACTCCATTTCTAGTTTAAATTCGCTACTATTTCATTACTAGGTTCAAACTTTGTTGCTTATCTGTTGGAAAAACGCATCTAATTGATTTAAGCTTCATACCATACTGTTAGTTACTAACAATTTGGAAAATTAGCCAATGACACCAAAGGAATCGAAAACAATAAACAGACAGATCGCCAGGTATTCGAATTAATTCTGATTAAAACTGTTAAAAACATGCAATTTCTCGTCAAGAAAGCTGCAAAGGAACATTTTTTAACCTGAATATTGATAAAAGTTCGGCAGAAAAAAAAGTAATCAAACTTTAATTTAAATTAATTCCGAGTGATTTATTTAGGTTTCCTTTAAAAAAACATTTTCATAAGTTTTTTCACTGCCTCAGTTTTTGTGTTCAAATGAAATAATGATTTTCAAACTATGAATTTTTTTGATAGAAATTGGAAAAATGTGCTTGGAAAATAAAATGAAACGACATATTGTCTGTATCATATTTCGATTCTCAGCCCTCAAATAATTCTGGATGTTTTTGTTCGATATAAATCGGTGGATACATTACCATAATCAATGACCGGATCATTATGAACCCTCGAGTTGGTCAGTTTTATACGCCTTTTCCCCCGATAATGCATGTTACGTAACATTTCTTGTTCACGTGGCGCATCTTAGAACAAAGCAGCATAATGATGATCGTATCTTTGATAATAACAGGAAAAAAAACACCTGAATTTGGTAGACTTTTTTGTTAGACAAAATCCTGCTTTATTCTATCACGACGGTTATTGAAACGGCTGATGATTTATATCATGACATTTGTTTCATTGGTTAGTCTTCTTGATTGAAATAAAAATTAGCGATGCACGAAATGATGCTGAGAGATGACAAAAGCCGTCTAAAACGCAAGTCCCCTCTCATAAAATTGGTGTAATCATCAAAAACGCGTAACGTCATATTGTTTAAAAAAAGACCCGTATAAGTACCTTTGCGACTGAAAAATCCCTAAAAGCGATAAAAGAGACTACGTAACGTAAAAGTATGATATAAATTGTCTGAAAAACAGCTTAGTATTTGATTAAAATTTGTCCGAAAATGTCGACCAGTTCGAACTTCATGTTGCAGTTCAATGACTCACGCACAATCAGTTTGATGGATTTCCTGAAGATCTGGAAGCACTACGACATTGATAAGTCCGGTTATCTGGAAACAACGAACAGTTTCGGAGACAAAAGCGAGTTTGAGAAGTTCCTGGGAGACCTGCTGGAGATCATGCTCAATGAGAAGCCTGAGGATGAAGAAGTCAAGAGAATCTCGAAGTCTTTCATCAAGACTTATGACGTCAACAAAGGTCAGATTCTGAAATAAAAATCAGGGTCAGAATCAGAGAGGGGGGGGGGGGGGGGGTCAAAATCAGATTGGGTCATAATCAGAAGGGGTTAAAAGTATATATTACAAAATCGGGATCTTTCATGAAAGTTTTCTGTTAGTTCTATTTTTTGAAGCGCAAAATGGAAGTTATATTTTTTGCCAACGTGAGTTTTATAATTATGCTGGCTGCAAGATGTCAACAAATCAAAAAAGTTGCGACGAGAAAAGCTCAGACCTTTTTTTGTCTAAGACTATTCAAACCTCCATTTCAGGGTTTACCGAACAATCAAAGTGGACATTCTAAATGAGCAATCATCATGAGATAGGCGGAGGGTGTTTTAAAGTTGCCATCTTTTTTCAGACAATCGCCTGCAGATTTCTGAGTTGATAGAGGCACTCCCGGTGGAGAGGAATTTCCTGCAGCAGTTCCTGGGCAGTGAGATCACGCACATGGACGTGGACATCATCTTCGACCACTACGACAAGGACGAGTCTGGACAGATCCAGCACGAGGAGGTCGCCATGCTAGTCAGAGACATATACTGTGAGTTGAACGTCTGGATCTTTCCCATTATACTTCCCCCCCCCCCCCCGAATCATAGCACCGCCTAATGCAAATTATTTTTGTATTGGCGGTATGACTTTTTTGTTACTAGGCTGGTGAAAAGGGAGCTATATAAAAAAAAAGATTTTTCATAAGGCGAGGTTCTAGAAGTTCGCGTTTTCTTTCGGAGGTCCGACCACACGGCATCCAGCGTTTCCCCGTTTCAAGGACATCTGTTCTTATTCATGTTCTACTGCCTCGAGAAGTCAAAACAGAACTATTTTTTCGTACGTTTTTCGAACTAATTATGGGTACGACTCATCAATTTTTTAATTTAAGAAAAGATCATTAGTCTGCGCTTCACTCTCAGTGCTTGCGTTAGTTTTTCTAAGAGCTTCTGCAATTTCAAATTTGTCTTTAAATTAAACCTATTTAACCAACAAACAGTACAAACATGTTTTTTTAGATTATGATTTATTGCTATTGTTTCTGTGGTTCAGACCATTGTGTAATTCATTTTGGTTGGTTTTCTGGGCTGACAAAGTTGCCTCATCCTCAACGAGCATAGATGACCGTGAGCTTCAAACCAGTGACCTTCCATTTTAGATGCACAGACTACAGCCACTTCATCTCTTAACCTGTTCTTCTTAATAAAGTGCCATTGCAAAATTTTAAGGTCTTAAATTGATAGTTTTCTAAATTATTGAATCCACAATAATTTTAAGCAACTCATGTAGAGTTCCATGTACTTCCTTCATCGGAATTGATGAGCCTTTTTCTTTTTCTTCTTCTAAACTCGAAAATAGTATATTAATGCTTGTTTTTTTTTGCAGACAAGAAAGTGGACTCTGTGAAAGACAAGGAGGAGTTGGACAAATTCATTGCCAAGAGACAACAGGATGTGATCTCAATGGTCGACAAGGACGGAGACGGAATGATAGACAAAAACGAGATCAGACGAGTGTTCAAGATGCTGTTTAAGCTCAAATAAAAAAGCTGTCAGCTTTCTGGATATAACATGAAGCTAAATCTAAAACACTAAATCGACCCAATGATTTGATAATTATATCGTCATATAATCTCATTTGAAATGCACATTCATAAAATATCATCAGTTTCGTTGCTACGATGAGCCATTAGATGAGAAAAAGTCATTTCAAAATTAGTCACGTCAAAAGACTGGAAATCAGACATGACCTAAAAAAGTGACCTAAAAACATGACCTTAAAGATTTAAATAAAAAAGTGAGTAGCTTATTTCAAATTTGAGTTTTAAGTCCCAAAAATCAATTCTATTGTCTGAATTAGGACACAAAAGCCAAGGAATCAGTGACTGAGGAAACAAAAAAAAACTACATATAGCTTCTTTGAATCGCTTTTGCGTTTGCAAACTTTTTCAGCACCCAAAGAAAACAGTTAAGCTCTATTTTATTCGAACGACTTCTGCGTACCCGGGTTGTCAGCCATTCAAAAAGTTGACCAATTATAGCTATATTGTGACTTTTATTGCAACAGCTATATTAACCAAAGAAGCAAAGAGCAACCTTAAAAAGTTAAAATGGATTCGCTAGAGCTCAAAATAACTATTTACTTAAATTAAAGAAAACACGGTAACTTGGTCCAATATTTTTGTGGTCTTACCTGTTTTGTCAATTGATTCACTTTTATGTCGTCCACAGATAACGAAATTGATTTTAAATTGAGTCTAAGCCATGTTTTTTGAAAGAAAAAAATCAATTATAACTCATTTTGAATGAATGTTAAAATAGATTCGCTAGAGATCAAAATAATTATTGACTGAAATTAGAGAAAACACGTTAACTTGGCCCAATATTTTTGTGGTCTTACCTGTGTTGTCAAACGATTCACTTTCATGTCGTCTTCAGATAACAAAATTGACTTCAACTTCATCCTAAACCATGTTTTTCGACAGATAAAAAATCAATTATAATTCAACTTGAATGAATCCATTGTAATGAGTCGTAATCCGAAAAAACTTTAGAAAGAATTTTTTTCAACTTTAATGACTTGTGACGTTCAATAGCCGGTTACTGTGCAAGTATGGCAGAATGTTCCGCCCATAGTCCTGAAAAATTGTTTCCAGTATAGGTTCACATTGATCAATAAAATTTATTTGAATGACCACTTGAAAGAACCCAATCTGGGAGATCGCCACTAGAAAAGTTCTACCTGTTTTCAATCGTCTCCGAGCGCAAAAAAGAACAGCTTTTAATGTGATAGTGGTCTAATACCACCGTTTTTTCGTTACAATCCTAGAGAAAGAAAAGTTTTCAAGACTATAGAACTGAAAAGTTATTTAGTTAGAAATCTGGTAAATTAAATGTGGAAATTTGAGTGATATGTAATCAATGGAGAAAACCGATACCATGAGAAAAGTGAGAATATTAAATTTATTAACTCCATATTTCCTATAAATGTGGTCTCCAGAAACGTATGGAGAAAGTTGTTAATTTCCATCCGTGTCATTTTGCTAATCAATTTTTAAAAAAAGTCGGATAAAAGTTTGAGAGACAGTTGTCAAGTTTTCGATTATTGGTAACAATTGAAAATTTATGATGCTTTTTAGAGTTGATCATTAACTGCTTTACTCGTTGATATAACTTGAATAGTTCGTCGGATGTGATTGATTTGCTGAGAGTCAAAGATTCACATTTACCGCGAATCATTTTACAGAAGATTTCGTATAAATGAAGCTCTTGTATATTATATTTTTTCTTTTTTTCCGCAATAAGTATATTGATCCGAATTTTTTCTTGAAAGATAAGACTCTAATCAATCTGTTGATGTTGAAATCATTCTTATCAATGTTTGATTTGAAAGTTGACCTGTATCTTAACACGCCATATTGAACAACAGTTATTTTAACGTAGGTTTGGTAAAACTTGTTCAGTTGTTGTTTATTTAAAATATCACGCAGTTGATAAACATTTCCGCAGAAGTTATTAAGCTTAATATTAACAATATCAATCTGATCTATGAATTCCATTTATTTATCGAATTCTATTTGTTTATTGTTTTGCTCAAGGTCTTCGTTGTTCATTTTAAATGAGTAGTTATTTTTTTCCATTCCGTTTTGTGAAATCAGCTGCTTTAGTTTTATTTAAGTTCAAAGTCAGTTTGCTTTCATCTAATTATTCCTGTGCTTTTGCCGATGCCTTTTTATGGTTTCCAATAAGTATGGATTTTTCAGATAGAGTTTTAATGGCTGTATCGTCGGCATAGAGAAAGGCATTTGTGTTTTCATTGGGTACTCCGCACTTTTTTTTGACTTTGCGATTTGATTCTGTTGATGCTTACAAACTGTTTACGTTCTGATAAATTTGAAACTAGAAAATCATATGATGGTCATTTAAAACCGTAATCAAAAAGTTTTTTTTTAGAATAAGCTTGTGAAAAACAGTATCAAACGCTTTTCTTAAATAAAGAAAAACACTCAGATTCGAAAGCTTCGGAATTCCCTACTGTAATCCTGGCTGGCAATCTGGTCTGGCGTTAAGAGGTTCCGTTCCAGTCTTTGGGCTGAAGTATCAGATCGAACAACATTATTAAATGCCTGGGACCATTTAGTATTAGGTTTACGACCAAAATGCAATTCATAAGGCGATTTCTTAAGCAATGAGTGGTTACTCTTGCGAATATCTTCAATTATTTGTTGAATCGTTTTCTTAAAGTTTTTGAACTTAGGATCAAGTTTTGCAGTACCCAGTTTTCGCTTTATGGTCTGAATCGAGCGTTCAACCAAACCACTGCCTCTATGATCGCCAACTGGTGAGAGGATATGTTTAATACCTCTGCTAGAGCAAAATTCCTGCACCAAGTTATTTTTAAAACCTGAACCATGATCCGTATTGAGTGAGGTAAACCATGAATACAAATATAAGATGCAGGAAATTTAGTAACCTTCTTAGCCCCAGTAAATTTAGAAATAAGGACGGAAAGAAACTTAGAGAAACGATCAATTGCTACCAAAAGAAAGATCTTAGAACCCTTATCATCAAGTATAGGACCAATAAAATCTAGTTGTAACTCCTGATTGGGTCCAGAAAGAGTAGGCAAAGATTGTGCAGTATTAAAGGTTGTTGCGGGTGTAAGATTCTTACCAAACAAGGTGCATTCACGGCATTTCTCGCACGTTTCGATGATCTGACGGTTCAGAAATGGCCAGTAGAGATACTCGGAGGGCGCCATCATAACCTCTTGTCCCGGGTGAGAGCGGTGAAGGCGAGTAAGCACAGCTTGTCGAAGAGGTTCGGGTATGGCTTGTTTATTATCAATAACTACACAGTTATTAACCACCGCTGCTTTGGTCTAAAATTGAGCCATAGAAGAACCGAGCTTATTGAAAGATGTGATGTCCTTGTTGATGATAGCTCGTTTCATAGGTCCAAGAAAGCGGTCCCCCTTCGTCAATTCTGCCAAAAGGTCTGCATTTAAGAGTCCGGGCAACCCCACAATTTCTTTCTTTGAAGAGGAAAGAAGAGGTTTGCCTCCATTGACGACAAGAACCCCAATTCTTGCGGCAGTGTTAACCTTTCCAGGTTTCGACAGGCGACAATGTCTGATCGCCTCCAACAGCTGAGTATGACCATCCTTCCGTGTCGTGGTTCTGGTAGCAACAAAACGGGTTTTGGCAGCTCGTTCTCGAGTCCGGTTTCGCTGACGTATCTGATCCAGTCGTGAGATTCGGCTCAACTGTCGATATCTCATGGGTGGACGTGGACTGGGTCGACGGAAGTTTGGGGAATTGAGTGGAAATGGTTCTGCGAACGTTTGTAAATCAGCCTGTTCGGCTGTCGAATTGAGTAAAGTCTGTGAGTCAAGTTGAGTGAGGGTAGAATTCAAGTCAGTAGTAGTAGTCTGATTAATGCCAGGCGGTTGGTTTATGTCGATAGATTTTAGATTTGAAAACGATGAAAATGGAATGAGATGACTGTTTTGTAAAAAATCAGGTCGGAGACAATGAATTTTGGAAACGCAAACTGGTCTACGAATATCAATTTGCATACCAGTTTCTGATTGGTAATTCTCATGTGAGCATAAACCTACGCCCTCAATCGGTAAAGAATTCAAACAATCCATTTGCATAACACGATTTGATTGGTTGAAACTTTGAGCAAACTTTCCATCTCCCCCTACCGGCGGGTAACGTAATGAAATGGTAATATCATACTGCGACGAGAATTGAACACCCTCTTGCGATGGCGGACAACTTGTATCCCTCAATTTGGATGAATTGTCAGAATGAATAAAAGTGAGGGTCCGGTGAAAAGCCTCAATAGATTTAACAACAAAGAGTTCGTCGTATTTAGAGGGCTCAGGAGCTGGAAACATGGGATAACGAGATAAGTAATCGACTATCCCCAACGTGACCCCGGGAACATGAATGACCTCGAAATCGTTCAGTAATAAGCGATCAGCCCAGCGAGCAAGACGAGATTGATGCGACTTATTATTGTAAATTTCATTTAATGCCGAAATGATAGCTTTACGATCAGTCAACACTTGAAAACGAGTACCCAACAGATAGGTACAAAAATGGTCGCAGGCCCAAACAATTGTCAACAATTCCAATTCATTGGTACTATATTTAGCCTCCGCTTTATTAAGGAAACGCGAAGCAAAAGCAGTTGGGGCCCAAACTCCCGGTTCGATTTCTTGTTCAAGGCAAGCTCCTAAGCCATTATGACTAGCGTCACATTTTACCCTTGAGCCTTTTGATGAATCAAAATGATAAAGACCAGGGATTTTTGCGATCATATTGATATGCTTTTAAAAGCATTATTCTGCTCCTCTCCCCACATGAACGACTGTTTGTTACAGGCTTTCAAAGACGCGCGAAAATGAACGGTATGGGTATGCAAATCGGGTATGAACCGTTGTAAGTGATTCAACGTTCCCATGAACGAGCGTAGTTGTTTCAGAGTTCGCGGAGGTTTGAGTGATTGAATTGCCCCGATCTTTGAAAACTTAGGGGAGTACACATCCTCCTTAACGTCAAACCCTAACCTGTTACTTGGTTAACAGCGAAAGCACACTTACTCAGTTTTAGAGCCCAGCCTTCCACATCAAGTCTTTTCATCACCTTTTCAACCAGTTCGTTATGTTCCTGGACATCTCCTTTTGTAATTATCAAAATGTCATCATGACAACAAATGACACCCTCTAGCCCCTCTAAGGTACAGTCCATTGCCTTCTGGAATTCGGTAGGCATATCAGTTAAACCATAAAACCCGGTCTTGAATCGGTACGTTCCCGTAGCCTCTCCACACAAAATATGAAAGTTACAATGACTACTTGTAGCGATGACAAAGGCAACTGACTGAATGCATACTTCAAATCCAAGGAGGTGAACCAAACCTTTCCAGGTACATTTCGAGTTATAATCTGCGCCGCGGAATCGATAAGTTCATGAAAGCTCGGCATCTGATACTTGTTCTTCCAGATCTGAGCATTCATTGGTTTAGCATTAACAGCCAGTTTGATTGAACCATCCTTTTTTGCAGTTAATAATAGGCGCTATGAAGAAATCAGTTGTACACTTGTCCAATTTTTCAATATGACCCTGCTTCATCAGAAGTTTTATTTCGCTCGCTACTCTATCCTGAATATGGATCGGAACCTTGCGTCGTTTAATCTGACGTGGCACCAAAGGAATTCTAATCACAATTCTTCTACTAGAGAAGCAAAAGCGTCAACAGTACTTCTTTTTTCTATGAAGCCGATCTGAAATTGATGTAATATTTTTTGTTGATTAACAAAGTCTAAAAGTCGGTTGTATATCAATCATTCCAGTCGTTTGACAACAACAGCTAAAAGTGATTTAGTCTGAAATTGGAAATTTCATCTTTATTCCGCTCTTTAGGTATAGGTATCATTTTTGCAATTTTTATTGAGCTCGGAAAAATATTGTTGTCAAAACTTTTTTGAAATAAAATAGTTAGGACAGGCTCCAACAGTTCTCTTATTGATAAAATGTAAGCATGATTGATGTTGCGGCAATCCAGGCTGAATTTATTTTTCAAATTTCCTAAGATTTGTATAATTTCATAGCGTGTCACTAGTCTCAAAAACATTGACTTTTCTACATATTTTTTTGCTGTTATGTCTGTGTGGTATATGAAAGCGTTTGCTAATTTTTCGCTTAAAAACGCAAAATAATTGTTAAGAAAATTTGTATCTGTGTTAAAATTATCTGTGTTAAAACACTTGTTTGCAATCCCAGTCAGATTGTTAGCCAATTGAAAAAATTCTTTCTTTTTTTGCGGCTGCGTCTGCAGTTTGCTCTGATAATTTTTTTTTTCTGTTTTGCTGTGAATCTTTCGACCAAAATGTTTTTCAATTTTTATTTATCTCTATCCTCTGAAGTCCAATTTTTCGAAAAAAGAATCTTCTAAGCCTATTCTTTTAGTTTGCTACATTTTAAACCTGGTAATCAACCCAAAAGGTCTTGTCTTCATTTACCCTTTTTGGTTTTTCAGGGAATTTTTTTTCAAATTGTCAATAAGAATTGCGTGAAGTTGAGTAGAGCCCGCATCGCAGCTTAAATCATTCGCATTTTCTTTTAAGTAGTCGAAGCCCATTTGCAAGCTAGTTTTTAACTATTCTATGAAATCTTTTATTTTGAGTAGGTACCACTTTCTAGATAGATAAATTTTTTCAGTTTGAATTTTTTTTACCTGCCTCATTTAAATAAATAACCAAAGATGATCTGAGGTTGATGTTTTCCTTACCATACTTCTGCCTTTATGACTTGAAAAAAAAATCTATTCATGTTTTAAACTTTGTTGTTAACCTTGTACGTTCTTTGGTATTCATGCAGAAAAGTTCATTCAGCTACTCATACTGTTTATATCGAAGTCTCCGCATATTATTTGATTTGATCCTGGGTCAACCACTAAACTTTCACTCGGTGGAATGTACAAGAAGGCTAAACTTATTTTAGTTTTACAGTTCAATTTTAATTTATTATTTAAAGATTATTGTCGTTAACTTTTTGCTTTCTCTGATACATAGCTTTCATTAAGCTTTCAACCTGCGATTGAGCTTCGTATGGTTTTGAGCCCCCAAAGCTACAAGCTTTGTCAAAAATCTTGAATTCCTTGAGACATGATTTGAGCTTACAAATTCAAACCTGAGTTGAAACGAAAACGTTTCTTTTTAAATTCCACTTCCTGCAACACGATCGATTGTGCTGAACCAGTTTTAATTTTTCACCAATTTTCTCTTTTTAGGTTTTCAGGAGCTCTCTTCTTCTAGAATTTTCTAGATCTGCATATTCAACAAGAAGAGAAATTTGATTCGGAAGTTAAAAAATTTTTATGAACGACAATCCGGTTGTCGGAAAACAAAAACATTCTACGCTATAGTTTCTTTTCAACCCTTCTATAAGGGGAAGGTCGGAAAAATATTTTATAAGGCCTTATCTATTGGTAAATAATCGATGGAAAATTGATAAGCCCTCTCGAAGTCTACCCTGATGCAATTCATTCAAATCATATTTACCACAAAACTTTTATTCTTTACAAAAATTAAAAACTGAGGAGAAATGTGGTGAGCTTTTGCAGTGTCTTTTGCTAGGTCAATTTACTGATCAGGCACTTATACGACAAATCATTGGGAACTACACATTATTTTCGCAGTCAACTGATTGGTTGCAGCTTCCTAATAAACAGCGCACGCGAATCTCATTAATTTAGCTGCAAAAAACATTCACCCTGGTCATTTTGGTTTTAACTGAATTCTCTGCTTGAAAAACAAGCTGAAATTTTCTGATCTTAACAGATGTCAATTATTTTCCCCATTATCGTAGGTCAGCTCGGGTTTAAAAAGTTGAAAATATTTTGAAATTTTGTGAACGTGAGGCACTTACAGCTTACGCATTCACACTCAAAAACTTGCTTCACCATTTCAACGATTTCAAACGATTTGCATTTAATTGCTTTCCCTGTACTCTTAGCACATAGCAAGGTAGGTGTTTTCAAAACAGCCTTCATTTTAAAAGCATGCATGAGACACCATAAACTGGTCTATAAAACGATTAACAAGCATTGAATTTTTTTTAAATACCAACCATTAAAAAACGTCCCTTGCTATAGCTATGGCTATTTCGAGGCCTCTTATCCAACACATATCAGCCAACGAATTTTTGAAGTTCCGCAGCAGAAAATCTAATGAAACGACTCTGAGTTTTCTTGAAGCTTCTCAAATTTACAATCACTACGTTATTCAGGTAACAATTTATTGTTAGCTTTGCTCGTGGACGACAAGCCCATGCTAGAAATTCACCTGCTTACTTTTTAAAAGCTAAGACCATCATGAAATCTTAACCGGCTGGGAGCTCGGTTTTTGGAAAAATTTTGAAAATTTTGCAGGCCTTTTTTGCTAAGGTTGATCAATTCGATTTTCCGAGCTCTTCGAAAATACTTTAAGGACTTTATTTTGCCAAAAAAATTCTGCTCCGCCGACAAGCTTTTCAAAAAAAGGCTCCTTTAGAAAAATATTTAGAGGTTGGTCTGCCAAAAATGGATGTCCCAAATTATATCAAAGGAAGGGGACCCTTTGGAAATATTTGGCAACCAGAATTGAGGGAAGAGAGGGTCGACCCCCAAGCCCCCACGGCACGCTACTGATTTCAACTGAATAACTGTCTCACCAAATTTGTGATCAGGAGCTATTTTTTGACCAGGAGAAACGCCTTTCAGTAGAAAGGTGGGTTATTCGAGCCGCACAACGAGCCGGCCTCTGAGCCGAGGGTATGGCAGCAACCCCTAGCTCAAACAAAATTAAAAATGCTAAAAATGCGTGTAGATCAATCAGCATCATAATAACAGCGAACCTCCGCAATGAGCCGAGCGGCTCGTATGTTGTTCTTTTACCCCGTGGACAAATGGTCCTAATATAAATTTTGATATTCAGGTTTCAGACTCTGCCAGTGTGTTCAGACTGACTGGTGGGCAAATCGAAGAGGGTCAAGGTCACCTCGGGTCACCGTATGAACATGACCTGGTGCAGTTCATTTTGGGCGAGGCGCCTGATAAAACAGACATCGATGCATTCGCTCAATTCAGTGCCAAGTTGTTCAATAAAGGTGATAAAAGTAATTTAAAAATGCATGAAGGTCTTAATCACCGCTAAGTAAAGAATTTGAATCAGCGATTGGTCAGTCATTCACTTGTAAGAGCACGAGAGAGGCCTTTTGATTGACTCTTTTTCATGAATAACCGGTTTATTTTTCCATATTTTTGGTTTCTTCAGTCCTAATTTTTGCCATTATTAGTGTTATGATTTAAATTAATCATAAATTACAAACATCTCAATTTTAGCTAAGATATGATCACATTCTGCATTTCAAAGTAGACTGATACTTTTTATCTTAAATGGGTCTCATATGTTGCTTATCAGGTCAAATGCTCGACAAAACGAACGTAGTCAGCATCCTCCCAGTACATAATACATTCATGCGACAGTTCCTCGGCACCCGAGTCAAGGATTACGACTATGAGATCATTTTCGAACACTACGACAAACGAGGCTTCGGAGAATTACGACCAGACGAAATCTCTGATCTCGCACGAGACCTGTTGGCGAAAAACTGCGAGACTGAAGACGAGAGAAAAAGACAAGAGGATGTTATAAAGAGATACACTAAAACTCTGATGCATATTATGGATAAAACTAGAAGTGGATATGCTAATAGGCTGGATTTGAAACGATTTCTAAAACTGTACCTGAAACTCTCATAAATTCAACTCCTCCTGACTATAATAAACATGGTAGCCAGCAGATTTAACCTTGAAACAATGGTTCTAGATGCGATTAAAACACTTAATTAGAAATGTACTTACAGAACGCGCATTGTTGTTTCGACTTTCGAAGGAAACTGTGATCACCTATATCCGATGTAGCCTTTGAGCACTGTTTCACATTTCGAAGTAACCTTCTATGACGCAACTTTTTACATGACGTCAAAATACTCATGCATGATATTTTTTTTCATGAGGTTAAAAACGTTAAAAGCCTGCCATTTCTTCTGAACAAAGACCTGCTAATTAGTTTCTTCAATTACTTTCTTTTATGCTCACCGCCCCAGTATTAAAATTGACGTACAATGGTACTAAGGGCGGTGACGTCCCTAATGACGGAAAGACCGAATGATGGATAACTAATTTCAGCCCATCGAATTGAGTTTTCAAAAACTGCAAAAAATTTAGCGAGCAGGAATGTCAAACAATTCTCATTAGTTTAAAATGTTCCATTATTTGGTCCCCACATCGTGATAATTGCCCCGGGCAATTGAGCTCAGTACAACAATACCTTTAATTCAGATGGCACAAAAAAATCCACCAAAAATGGCTAGTTAAAAGTCGAAATTGGTCTGAAGGAAAAAAACTACCCCGATCACAAATATTTTGTCAATTTCTTCGAAAATAGTCGGACTAATAAAGAGCAGAGGAAAAAAGTTAGCCGCGAAAGAAATTATGACGCTCAAAAACAAGACACAGTCTTAATTTTTCAGAAAGTTGTAACTCCTAACTGACTAGCCTGTATTTTTTTTCTGAGAAAGTGATGGAAAATCTGTGTCGCCAAAATGATGTACGGTACGGTGCAGATAACTTAACGATTTTTGAGATTATCATGGAAAAACTGGATCTAAATAAAACGCTTGTTCTATCATGTTGAAAAACAGTGAATTTCAATTAATAATGAGCTAATTCTTAAACACAGTGACAGGATGGCCACAGTGTCTGAAAAATCGCGGGCACTGACAGCACTGATACTCACACAAAGAAAAATGCAAGGCACTGACATTTTTTGAAAAAATAGCCTATTTTGGTTTTCTGACCCAGCTTTTTTTCATTGGCCCAACTTTTTTCGACCCAACTAATTTCTTCTTCTTAGAGCTGCTCAAAAAAAATTTATACCTGAAAAAAAAATTTATACTGTGTAAGTCTGCTGAGATTTTTGATTTTGAACCATTCAGTTAAGAAGCGCGATGAAAAAAAAACTAGCACCGATATTCACTTGCTGGCACTGACAGATCACGCTTCGCACTGGTTTGGCACTGACCACATCGATATCGTGGCCACCCACAGTGAAGTCACGTTGAAGCCACACAGGAGACAGGGAGGATTGAAAAGCAAAAAAAAGACAGAAATATCGACCACGCACGCTCCAAAGTGCAAAGAAGTATGAGTTTAATGCTATTAAAGAACAAAAACCGTTACCACAATTAAATTTGGAATGATTACTGCGCCGAGTTCAATCGAATCCTAGATTACGCTTCATCAGAAAACTGTTACACAGCTCACATCAATTACTACCAATAAGCTCTTTTCAAATTTTAAGGGTGATCACAGGACGCAATTTTGACAGAATTTCTTTGCCGCAGGCGAAAATTAAAAAAAAAACCGACCAACAAAAAGCGTTTTTGGGTTCTCTTCTCACGATGGCGCGCTAGCCCCTTAAAGTTAGTATACATTGGCGCCAAAGACGCCTTTAAAAAAATGTCTATTTGACTGCCAGCCAAAATTGGATGTCTTAAATAGTACCAAGAGGGGGGCGGGGGGTAACCCTCTGGTTCGGCATTTTAGTTAGTCAAATCGTGATAAAAAAATTGTGGAAAATCAATAAACAGTTTGAGCGATTTCAGAATCTTGATTGCAGATTTTAACCTTGATTTTTCTAACGGTTCGTTAACTCAAAGACTTTGTCTTATTGTCCTGAAAATAGATAAGAGCAGAAATCGAAAAAGTGAAACATAAAGTGAGTTGGCCGATCAAAACTAGATATAGTTCAACATTACAAAAAGAGAACTTTTTGGGTAGTCAGGAGGAAGAATGCATACGGTGGACGAGTCTGCACCCTCCCTTAAACTCGCAACCGTCAGTTAAATATATGCATCCAGAAAATACACTCGAGGAACAACGATTGTTTCTGGATGTACTTTAATTTGCATCAAAAAAAGTAAACAAAAACAAGCTCCTTCTGACTTTTTAAATGGCTATGGGTACAAAGTAGGAGCCGCACTTCACAAAAACGAGCAACAAAACGTCAAGAAGCAGCTGTGAGAAGGTAGAAAAAATATTAACACGTTTTTTGAAAAACAAATGAGCTCTGCGGGAATCGAACCTCAATCATCGAGCGCCCAAATAAACGTCTTCACTCCGCCCGTTGACCTCTAAAACAATTGAACTATTTTCTTAAATACTCTGAAGTTATTTTGGCAATGGGTTTGGCTACGAGTGGCAAATTAAAACTTCATCAACTAGTCTCTTTAAGTAACTAGCGCATGACTCGCACCTACGGTGCTTCAAATAGATCGTTGAACGTTACAAAGAGCTTCCAAAAACATGTACTAAAACAGCGATATTTAATGCAACCGTGAAAATGAACTGGGATCATCTATCAGGTATTTCTTTTTCACCAAAACACCACCAATGATTTGAGCAGATAAGAGTAGAGCGCAGATTTGCTGCCCTATATTGATCCCCGACAGCACCCCACAAGGTTAACAATTTCAATTTCTAGTACCTGTATATAAAGTATTAAAAAATCATGAGAAAAGCCATATCTCAGAAACAAGAAAGGTTTAAGCAATAAAAAACAGAGTCCAGACTTGTATCCTTACAGCACCCCCTGAATGTAAACTGACAGATCCCCACTGCTAGGGTTGAGAATTTTAAGATCGGTTAGTTTTTTTTGAAAAAAAAATTATTGAAATCGAAAAAGATTTGATGATTCACATTTAGAGGCTAGATTTGCAACGCCAATCTGTAAAAGACAGAAACCCGCCTCAAGGTTGAGAATACGAAGTTCTGTTAATTTTTTTTATCTAAACATTTGGAAAAAAATTAAAAATCATAAAAAACGCCACATCTTGCATACCAAAGAAAAATGAGCAGTAACATTTGAAGAGAAGAATTAGAACCTTTGAGTTTACCCGGATAGCACACCACCACCATAAGGTTGAGATTTTCAAGTTCCGACATTTTTTTGAATCTTTCAAGTTTTTTGAGAAATCTTTCAAGAATCTTTCAAGTTTTTTCCAAACATTTTTTTCAAATTTTTTGAGAAAAAATAAAATCATAAGAAACGCCATATCAAGAAAACTAAAGGACTTGAGCATTCATATTTGGAAGCCAGCTTTGCAGCCCCTGAGAGTACCTTGTCAATCGCCCCTAAAGGGTTAAGAAATTCAAGTTTGTTTTTTTTCTGTATGTTTTCGAAAAAAAAAATGAAAAAATCATAAAAACGCCGTATCTCGAAATCAAAAATTCGAGCTCACATCAGTCATACTTGGACGCCCTGATTGTGACCTGACAGCACTCAACCATAGGTTCAGTTTTTATTTCTAAATTTTTTGGAAAAAAATGAAAATATCATAGAAAAGGCTATATCTCAAAAAAAAAGGATTTGAGCAGTCATACTTGGACGCCAGATTTTCGCGTCCCAGTATAGGTTTGAGATTTTCGGTTAGTTTTTTATATCTAAGTTTTTTTTGAAATAAATGAGAACACCATAAAAACGCCATATCTCGAAAACAAAAAAAGATTTGAGGCGTCATACTAGGACGCCAGATTTAAAACCTCTGAATGTACCATGACAGCTTGCAAGTATAGGGTTGAAATCTTCTAGTTCGATTAATTTTTTTTCACATCTAAATTTTTGAGAAAAAAACATTGAAAATAATATAAACAACGCCATATCTTGAAAAGCAAATGATTTGAGCAGTCATATTTGGACGCCAGCTTTGCAATCCCTGAGAGTACCCTGTCAATCGTCACTATAGGGTTGAGAAATTCAAATTTGGTAAGTTTATTCCATCTTTGTTTTCGAAACATATTGAAAAAGTCATAAAAACTACCAATCTCGAAAACCACAAGAAGTTGCGCGTCATACTTGGACTCCAGTTTTGCAACCCTGATTGTACCCTGACAGCACCTTACTATAGGGTTGGGAATTTTCTGTCTGATTATTTTTTACATCAAGTTTTTCAATACAAATAGATAAAATCATAAAAAACGCCGTGCGTCGAAAACTAAAAGGATTTGAGCATTCACATCAGTCATACTTGGCCACCAGATTTGCAACCCCTCAGTGTAAACTGACAGCTCCCGCCACAGGGTTGAAATTTTAACTTGCTTAATTTTTCTACATCTAAATTTTTCAAAAAAAAAACATAAAAACTGCCATATCTTGAAAAATGGATTTGTGCAGTCATACTTGGACGCCACATTTGCAATCCCTGAGCGTCCCCTCACAGCTTGCAACTATAGGGCTGAATTATTCAAGATCAATTAGTTTTTTTTTCATTGAATATTTCAGAAAATCATAAAAAACGCCACATCTCGAAAGACGAAACGATTTGAGCAGTCATACTTGCACGCCAGTTTTCCAAATCTTGAGTTTACGCTGAAAGCACCCCATTATAGGGTTGCAAATTTCAAGCTCGGATAGTTTTTTTATACCTAATTTTGAAAAAAAATTGAAATTATCATAAAAAAACGTCATATCTCGTAGACAAAAATGATCTGAGCAGTCACACATGGACGCCAGATGTTTTTTGAGAAAAAACAAGGGAAATCTTAAAAAATCAAAACAAGTAAGGCTTCCCAAATAACAATGAAAATATCATAAACAATGCCAAATCTCGAAAACCATAAAGATTTGAGCATTCATACTTGGATGAAAGATTTGCAACCCCTGAAAGTCCCTTGACAGATTGCAACTATAAGTTTGAGAAGTTCAATTAGCTTTTTACCCTAAAAATTTCGAAAAAATAAAAAAATCATAGAAAACGCCATATTTCGAAGAACAAAACATTTAAGGCAGTCATACTTGGACGCCAGACTTCCAACTCCTGAGTTTATGCCGACAGCACCCCACTATAAGGTTGCAAATTTCAAGTTTAGTTAGTTTTTTATATCTAAGTTTTCTGATAAAATTGAAAACATCATAAAAAAGTCCATGTCTCGATAACAAAAAAAATTGAGCAGTCATACTTAAACACCATATTTGCAACCTCTGATTGTACTCGGAAAGCTTGTAAGTATAGAGTTGAGAATATCAACTTCAGTTACTTTTTTTAAATCAAGGTTTTTTTTTAAAAAAACAAGGAATTAAAAAAAAACGCCATATCAGGAAAACCAAAAGATTTGAGCAGTCATATTTGGAAGTGAGCATTGCAACCCCTGAGTGTACCTGACACCACTCCACTATAGGGTTAAAAGCTTCAAGTTCGATTAATTTTTTTTACATGAAATATAAACAACGCCATATCTCGAAAAAAAAATTGAGCAATCACACCTGGACGCCAGATTAGCAGATTCCGAGAGTACCCTGTCAATCGCCATTATAGGGGTGAGAAATTCAAGTTTGGTTAGTTTTTTCTACATCTAAGTTTTCGAAACAATGAAAAAATTCATAAAAGCAAAAGAATTAGCGCAGTTATACTCGGACTGAAGATTTGCAATTCCTTGACAGCACCCAACTATGGGGTTGAACACTTTCAGTTCGAGTATCTTTTCAATTAATTTTTTGAAAAAAAAATTGAAAAAATCATAAAAAACGCTAACTCCCGAAAACCAAAAGAAATTGAACAGTCACATCAGTGAAACTTGGACGCCATATTTGCAACCCCTTAGTGTACCTTGACAGAACTCCACTATAGGGTTAAGAATTTCAGATTTGCAGAGTTTTCAATATCTATAACTTTTGAAAAATGAAAAATTCTAAAAACGCCATATCTCAAAAACAAAAAGGATTTGAGCAGTCATATTTGGACACCAGATTTGCAAGTTTCAAATGTACCCTGGCAGCTGGCAATTGAGGTTAGTTTTTTATATCTTGATTTTTTGAAAACAAGAAAACCTTAAAAAATGCTACATCACAAAAACCAAAAGGATTTGAGCTGTCATATTCAACAACCAACATTGAACCTCTGATTGAACCTTGACAGCAGCCCATTATAGTGTTGAAAACTTCAAGTTCGATTAATTTATCTTACATATAATTTTTCCAAAAAAAACATTGAAAAAATCATAAGCAACGCCATATCTCGATAGCCATAAGGATTTGAGCAGTCATACTTGGACACGAGATTTGCAGCCCCTAAGAGTACCTTGTCAATCGTCCTTGAAAGGGTTAAGAAATTCAAGTTTGTTTTTTTTCTGTATGTTTTCGAAAACAAAATTGAAAAAATCATATAAAAAGCCATATCTCGATAACCACAAATTTGAGCAGTCACATCAGTCATACTTGGAGGCCAGATTTACAGAACCTGAATGTACCCTGATAGAACCCACCATAGGGTTGAGAAAATCAAATTTGCTGGGTTTTTATCTAAATTTTTTGAAAAAAATTGTAAACATCATATAAAACGCAAAACCTCGAAAAAAAATATTTGAGCAGTCCGACTTTGATTTGCAACCCCTGAAAGTCCCCCAAGTATAGGGTTGAAAATTTTAAGTTCGATGAGTTTTTTGCATTAAGTATCTCGAAAAAAAAAATTAAAAATCAAACTAACGCCATATCTCGAAAAGATTTGAGCAGTCATATTTGGACGCCAGATTTCCAACTTATGAAGGTATTTAGTTAAATGAATTGTGAACAAACATTTTGGGAGTTTAACCTTGCAAATATCGGAAACAACTCGAGTTAAAGCAGTCGGTCGGGCTCCAACAAATTTTGAAACGTTGACTTGAGTATACATTCAACCCTTGCAATGTTTTGGCCTTTAACAGACCAACATAGCGACTTCATAAACATATGCCAAGCGAAACTTTTTTAACATTACAATATACCTTGAACGTGCAAAAACTCTTTCGTTAAACATGCTACAAATATTACGTAGAAAAAGCCTAAGCATGTCAACAAAGGGACTTCTTAAACATGTTTCAGGTGAAACGACAATCAAATTATGTATAGATAGATAGATTGCCTCAGTCTTGAAGGAAGATAAAACTCTTCGCTTCGTTCCCATTTCTGTCATCCTAGTAGGAAAAAAAATCCTTTCTTTGATACAAACAAAAAAGGTCAAATAATTTATTCTCAGGATGCAGAAAACACTTTACAAATCTATTATCAACAATGATAATATGATCAATAGTCCTTATCGTAGCCCCAATGTATGATTGTCTCAAATTTTCACAGAAAATCAAAACTATAGAAGAGCCCCATATTTAATCTTATTTAAGTCGATTTCCAATAGAGAACTGATAAACAAGGAAACTGCATGAAGTTCAAGCGCCTATAACACACAAAACAGTTATTTTTCAGAATTTACTAATAATTTATTCCTCGTAGTTTACTATACACGTTTAAAGTTAGTTTCAGTACATAGTTTAATTCACATATGGACTGGGAGATTTTCCGCCTAGGAAACTGAAAAATCCACCTTTAGCCTGCTCTGCCGGAGGAAACTTTAAACCCAACTCCGTCAGCTTCGTGAATGCGGCCTGAAAGTCCTTGAAGAACTTTTCTTCATCTTTAGCATAGATCTCCACCCACTTCTTGAAAGTCGGATCCCGAGTCAGTGCCATGTCCGATTCCAACATCATCAGGTCCCCTGTTGGATCTTCGTACTGCTTCGGACCCTTCCACTTTTTCACAGTCCATGTATTCTCCACGAGTTCTCTGAAGTACTCGTTAGAAAAAGTAGTCGGAGCTCGAGTCCAGGGTCCTTCGAAACCGGAAGATGTCGTATGACAACGTCCGAGAGCATGGGCTCCACTTAGAGCAACAATCTCCTGATCATTGAAACCCATTCGGTAGAAAATGTCTCGTAGATGAGTCTCCTGCTGAGCCGCATCGGGCAATCGACCATCGGGTGAGAATCGTGGATCCTTTTCAGGAGCCGACTCCTCCTTGGCTTCAGATCTTCCAGGGCGGAAGGGAATTCGAGGTCCTCCCATCTCTTCAATCGCTATGCATCCTAAACAAACGCAAGCCAATAAACATGATTCAGAGAGGAAAATATCCGATACGGATATCAATGCACAGCCAGCGCAAAACTATATGCACTTTATCTGTGGCATCGGTTAAACTCAACAAGCGTAGCAAAGGAACAGAGACGAGCGCAGACAATTTTCAAGGGGGGCCTTGCGGTTAAAATTTCAATAACTTGGTCGACTTTTTCCCAAGCTCTCCAAAAATACCATAAAGAACCTTATTTGTTTAACATTTTCTACGCCGCAGGTAAATTTTGAAAAAAAAAAAACTGACTAAAAATAACGTTTTGAGCACTTTTTAAAAAAATATATGACCAAAAAAAATTGCGTTTTTAGACGCTCGCTCTCCCTCAAATTAATTTAGTTATATTGGCGCCAAAGGCGCTTTAGAAAAGCTTTGAGGTTGGTCAGCCGAAAATGGTGGTCGGAAAATTTTACCAAAGGGCTACCCTTTGTAAAAAAAATTGGCAACCAGGATTGATGGGGGGGGGGGGGGTCCCCTCGGCACGCTACTGCGAGGGAAGAAGACTGAGTTAGGTAGCAATTACCAGCAAACACGTAAAGGTCGGCATGCGACAACCCTGGATATTTTTCCATCAGTGGTTCCAATCTGGCTCGGGCAGTATGCAGACCCGCATTGGCTCCATGGCCTCCTTCCGTCTTGAACCTCATAGTACCACCGTCACTTCCTCCTGTCTTTGTGTGCTTACACCAAGTACCACACGAGTGCCAAGCTAGTCGGACAAAAATAGGCCCAAAGGAGCCGTCGTCATGGTTATCATCGTCCAGTAGTCCGACAATGTCCTCTTTTAGTTTCTTCCAGTCCACTTTTAAAGTCTCGGCCACAACTTTCGAATTGTCTAGACATAGCCAAAGTCCACCGCCGATGAATGCTGCTCCACCCATCATCAAGTGTCGGTTCCTGCGAGCCTCACGCTGCACGTTGGCTGCAATTCCTCGACGGAGTCCATTTCGCAGCTGAGGAGCCACTGAGCGAGCGAACAGAGTTCGACTGGTAGAAGCAAACATTTCAATCTTAAACAGCACTATCTGATCTAAATTAACTATTTGGCAAGTAATGCATGTCCCTATGGGGTTGACACGATATTTGCGAACCGCAATACATTTCTCTAAGTTTGAACCAAAGTCATTGCAAGCCAAAGTAGGCACAAGAAGCTACCATGCAGTTAGACTAAATCACATGGTATTAATAAAAATCTGGTTCACTCAGCTATTGCACAGAAACACCAAAAGGATAACTTTAAATTCGAAACATCGATATCAAAAATAAATTATTGAATTAAATTTTTACTGAAATTGGAAAATAAACATGTAATATAGAATTGCCTTGTAATTAAATATTGATCTGGCCGATGGTAACAAACGATATCAAGGTTTTTCAGAAAAAAGAGCCTTCAGTTGCTGGGAAAGATACTGTGAAGTAGAAAAAAATCTTGGAGGTTTTCCTTTTTTAATACAACCTCACTGACAAATGCCAAAAAATTGAAATTATCAAAACTTCAAAAAAATTTATATTTTTTCAGAATTCAGAAAGCCAAAAAAAAGCAAAACTAATTTTAAAAATCAAATTGGATATCTTAACTTGAAAAAATTAAGATGGCCGATCAGTTAAACCTTTCCTAATTTGTCTTTTGTATCATTCTCAGGAAATGATCCAGACCTAAACGCAAACGCCTTTTGGATTTCAGTTGAGAATAAAACTGTATTCTCACTAGGGCAACGACTTACAGACGCTGGTGCTCAGCCTAACTATGATCACAGAAAAAAAAGTATGATTGGATCTTTATTAACAGAAACAGTTCTTGAATGGTATACTGATGAAGTAACTGATGCTTCTACTTGGGCTGAACTAAAAGATCTTTTCCTAAAAAGAATCACTGATGGTAGAGATTAATTCATGCATCGAATTGATGCTGAAAATGCCACTCGACAAGAGGGCGAATTAAAAAAAACTACTTCCATAGGATTAAAAACCTCAGTCGACTAAGGTTGGCCTGAAAGCATCGATACTACCGTTCATGTTGATGACGCTGCACAGACACTGGAAAGAAATATACAAGCGAGACAGAGAACTCAAAAGTATATAGATTTCTCAGTTAAAGGTCTAAAACCCTTAGCTTTGAAGCAAAAAGCTCATGAGTACATGATAGAGAACTCCAACGCAGGATGGGAAACGTTTACAAATCATATAATTACAAAAGATTTAACTTTCATCGTCGCCACTGACCCTGCAAACAAAACATCGACAGATAAAATGACATCACCAGAGACGCAAAAAAAAGAGTTCTTGGATCCATTTGAATACTTTCGAAACGTACCTGCAAAACATTTCCTTAACTGTCAATCTAAAAGATGGCACTGTTCATAACTGGCAAAATATTCCATTGCCTTGTCCTGTCCATGCAAATGGATGTGACACAATAGCACTCGACCCTTTAGCATATACTTGGGACAAGCCCCAAAACTGCATTTTTCGCTTTTCAATAAATTCGAAGCTAAAATGATTCGAAACGAAGAGAATTATTATTTTGTAAAAGATTCTTTTACAAAAATATCCAACCACCATACGCGAGGTAGAGACACTCAACAATTTATGCTAAAAATCCTAAATAAACCACAATCTTTGTGGACACCCAAAAATAGTCTACCCGACCCAATACGAATCATTGTTCATAGCATACCAGAACGGTTTTAATTTGGATACCGGTTTACAAATAAACCCGAGTGCTAATACAGGAATTAGTCATTCGGAACCAATTTTGACTGAAATAAACTAAAAAGAAAATCATTACTTTGCACCGGGACAAATAGACTACGAAGCTCATCTAGGAACAAAACTCGATTACATTCTTTTTCGAAGCTTTTACATGCTTCGAGCTGCTTAATTGGCACTTTTAATGAATCAATGTGAGTCAGAATGCTCCATGATTCTCAACACTTTAATGATCTCTATCGAAATAGGTCTATGTTTTTAGAGACCAATGACAATGTTGCCTGGCTCTAACTCTGCCCAAAAATCTATTCTCCATTACAATTAATGTATGCATGTTATAATCGGATACCGATTATGTATCGCGAAAAAATTCATTTCGTCGACACGATCACTCGACAAACTTTTAAATCAGATCAACAAGACTGCTCCGATAAGCATTTAAATCTTTATCAACTAGATGTTGATAACGATAATTCTTGGATCGAACTTACACCCTCTATTACTAGAGTAAAAGGTCCAGATCTTTTTAAGCCAAAAGAAATTAAACGTCAAGTAAAACACTCTTACATATAGCCATAATGCTTCTATTCACACTTAGGCACAAATGCAAAAATTTTGGAGCATGATTACTGATCACTCTGAAATGAAGGGTATTTTACAAAAAGTCTCCCAAACTTTTCGTAATGCGAGAAAACAATTCTATCCGGACTCGAGTAGTCAAAACGGATCTACGCAAAACATATACTTAGACTTTCTTATCTCGCCTGACTTTTGGAAGAACGAGTACGCTCGTATTTTGCTACAATACAGTACTATTTAGAAAGATGCGGAATAATATTCGCCTCTTTCCTATTCGTCAATTTATACTCGACGCTCTTGTATTTGCTTTAAAAGTTTTATACTAACCGGCCGAACTCTTCATTTCGGAAAAATTATGTTAGCCGCCTCTTACAATATACTTTTCACTTCTATAGTGACTTCAATATTTGCTCAAAATGAGAACGATCAAAATATTGAGCATGATTATAGGCCTCAGGCACCTCAACAAAAGGATTCTGAAAAAGAAAATCAGGATAAAATTTATCCTACACTCCAAATAGTCGATTACAATAATCGACCCGCTGTACCGGTCTAATTTATTTTATGTTTTAGGATATACCCGCTGATCTTCTTCAGACTCCAATTGAAGGAGGCTGGCTTGATTTCGAAAACCTGCTGTCTTTAAATGAACCTATGGAAATGCCACCCAAAATAATCAACCCGATTATTCAGCCAAAACTGAAAACCAATTTTACAATCCCAAAAGTGAAACACTCTAATGGCATTCAAAAAAGAAAAGCTATTATCCGACCTTTCAAAATTCTCCTTTGTTCAACTCGGCAACACCTAGATTCTGAAACTATAATAGTTCACAAATCAGCAAATTCTCTTGAACTTGAAACAAAAATCGGGATCCAAGTCAAAAAGTAACAAAACCTCAACCCCAGAAAACCGCCAAATTTTGATACCTGTTTAAATTATGCGGTCTCTCACTTTATTAACCGATTTAAGATAGAAACCTATCACCCTTACCAAAACGGTAACAGTGCCTACCATCCACAACTCCCCCATCAACACATTTGTGTTCCAGCAGCGTTAATAACCGCCCAAATGCAAACTCCAATCCTTGACCCTTACACGGATCAAGTGCAAAAGAATTGTATAAACGACTTAAATCGTATCAACCAAATGCAGAAAACCATAACAGCTCTCCGGGGAAAAAATATGGAACTCAGCAATAAACATTTGAGCCTAAAAACCCATGTGGAAGGAAAATATCAGTTTCAAGATTCTGTTAACCTCCGTCCCTTTGTTTTTAAACTTTACATTCACTTATATTCAACTGTGATTTGGCCGCCGCCACCCTACAAAGTATGCATCTACAATTATAGTCCAGTATTGCCGATAAGTATACTTGCCAAACCAAATTTGAAAAATGTATTTGATGTTATATTTCTTAAAAGTATCCAGCTGTGATTTGGCCGCCGCCGCAACTCTACAAATCACTGCTCTGCTCTACATGCACCTTTTCTTTAAGACGCAATCCTACGAAGCGACAACACTACAAGCAGCCATTCATCGACCGACTACACTACAAGCAGCCATTCATCGACCGACTACACCACAAGCCGCCATTTTACGAGCAAACTGTCAAAATCAGAAACAAAAAAACTTTACGCAAGCTCTATTAAAACTTTTTGATGTTTTGTAAATTATATATTATGCTTTCAAATTTCTTTATCAACTGGTATCGCCGTTTAACAATCACCCTATAAGATGCTTGGATGTTCTGAATTGAAATCAGAAACACAATTCTTAAACTTTTACCATATGCTAGCTTGAAGTTATGTTTGCTCGGTTGATAAAATTTCACCAAAAGCAAACACTACGACATATGTTGTCTCTTTCTGATTGGTTTAACCAACAGATGAAATGTTGAAAATATGAAAATGTACGGTATATAAGGCAAGCGAAAATATACCAAAAAGACACTATCACAATCACTATCGATCTATATCCGATAACCCATGTTCTATATTTTATGTGTGTCTCCTATATTTGAAATAATAAACTTATTTACGAGTGAAAGAAACTTTGTCTGTTGAATAAGAATAGGAAAGTCTTAACAACATTCAGAACGACCCCTTATTCTATTTAGCTGCTATTTGGTCGATCGCCATAAGTTAAGTCAAGCTAGTTTGGAATAGCAACTTTCCCACTTGAGTACTTGACAGACGTTGTTCCCACATTTAAGAGTTGTACAATAATAAGTGAGAATATCCGCGATTCCGCTACAAATCCATATCACGTTGTGAACCCAGAATCTCGCATCCAGAAGCTGGATTATGAGAGCATGTACGGTAAACACATCAAGGGAACATTTTGTCAACCCAGTAAAGCATATGTAATCCGATAAGAGTCGCGCACGCAAACTGTCGAGGTTAAGTTACTCATTTAATTTAGATTTAGCACAGGCAAATACTTTGTCTATGTCCGCCATTTAACATGGGCGTGGTTCTCCTCTTATCGGCTTCATGATAAAAAAAACTAATCGCGTAAGTAGGTTCCAGCAATCTTGTTAGAAAACGTTTAAAATATTTTAAAAAACTGTTTAGAGCCCAAAAGATGCCATGTCGCAGACACTCATTATGATGGAGTGGTACGACTCCGATGGAGTGGCCCAAACCACAATAGCTTATTGATGTTAAAACAGACCCTGAAAAAACTTTTCTTCTGAGGAAGTATCTCTTGTTCGAGTTAGGAAGGAAAGGAAGCGAAGTCCCACACTGGCTCTAAGGACAATTGAGCATATTAGAAATTTTAGACTATTGAAGTGGATAGGGTAGGCCGCCTCTATGGTTGTAATGTCAATTAAAAGAAATAAAATCTCTATCTATAGTTGGAGAAGTAGGAGGAGAGTTTGATTACGTGGAGCTAAAAATCCTGTAATAAAAACAAAATAAGAAAAATCATAATTAGACTGTCTTTAACTTTTTTCTTGGGTGGAGGGTTATTTTGTATTTCGAAAATTCTGTTTTGTTAAACAAAAAAAAATAAGGTTTTATACCCCTTTTGTAGTCGGTATTAAAAGCTTACGATTCAACTTAAGTTCTTAACTCTTTCAAAAACCTTTCTTTTTTTTTCGCAGACTTGCTTTTCGCACACTTGTTTTTTTGCACAACATTTTTTTCCGCTGTAAAACTAAGCGGCATTGCAATTTGTAACTGATCTTTTTTCTGCGGAAAACAGTGCGCCATTAGGTCGACGTGGCTTTGGCTTGCACTTACACATAGTTTGTTCTATTAATGAAGTAGGCAACAACTTTCTGAAGTATTTTCAATAAACAACCTTTTTTGCACACATCAGCTGCAATTTGATGAACACCTTTCTATCCAATCTTAACAAATAACTTGTTAATCTGTAGTAGAAGCTCATTAGGGATGTAGATGCTTGGTCATTAAATATTTTCGGTGTACTCAAACATTTTGTTAAATCGGGGGAAAAAAGACGGACTTTACAATTGAAGTCAAAAAAGATCGGTTTTGCGAAAAAATGCTGGGTTCGAACTTCGCAAAACAAACTGCAGCGTAATAATTCTAATAAAATTTTTAACAAGTTTTGCCATCATTATTATTTGTCTAAATTGACTCATTTTGAGAAAAACGAGTTGTGAATTTCAAGTTTTCGTTTTATATTTATTATTCGAATAATTTCGTTTATTCGTTTTGTTCGCTCTGTATCAAACAATTACATTTACAATTGATCAATCGACTGCAAAAACCCAAAAAGTGCCATGTCGCAGACACTCATTTTGATGGAGTGGTACGACTCCAACTCCACCGACTAGAGCGACATCGGCAAAGAGGCTCTTTTTCCTTTTTCCCCCACCTCACACGAGCTTCATTATATTAATGTAATGAGTGGTTTTACGAGGTTGAGTATGAAGACCAAATATGTTTGTCGTGGCCTTATTAGTCTCTATGTAAATTTTCATATCAATCGGACAATGTCGTCAACAAATTTACATGTAAAAAATTGCAGGTGGGGGGGGGGGGGGGGAAGGAAAAAGAGCCGGCAAAGACTACATGCCAGTGAGATCTTTGGGTGCCCGTCGCCTGTCCCATCGGTCCTAGTATTAAAAACAAACTTTTTTTAAACTTTAAATCCCCCCCTCCCCCTGGGGGTTGGGTCCCCAGAATGACGTCAGGATAATTATATTATTAATCTTTCAATATTTTTTCTTATTTTTTGCACACTTGTTTTTTGCACACTTATTTTTTTTGCACACTTGTTTTTGCACAAAAGCTTTTTTCCGCGGTTTAAGTGGCTTTCGCTTACGCTTACAAAGTTTGTTTTATTGTTAAAGTAAGCAACAACTTTCTAAACTAATTTCAAAAAACACCTTTTTTGCACACATTGGCAGCACTTTGATGAACAGCTTCCTATTTTATCTTAACAAAAATGTGTAAATCTCTAGTGAAAGCTCATGACGGATGTAGATGCTTGATCAAATATTTTGTTAGATTTAGTGTCAAATATTTTGTTAAATTTGAGGAAAATAGACGGACTTTTTTCAGCTTAGTTGCGTTTTTTATTCTTGCAAGGGCATCAATTCTATCATGCTCAATTTCATAATCAAATTGTTTCATACACATGAATTTTGAAGATGAACTCTATGAAACATCAATACTTCAAAAAATTTATCGATGGAAGCAAGGGTATAGATCGATAATACTTCATGTCAAATTAAGAAACCTTCTTTAAGGCATCAGTAGATTTTATAAGAGTTTTGACGGGTAAACAGCTTGTTTATTTGAATCATTTGCAATTTTGTTGCTGTTGAAATTGTTAACCTTTTCAGGGATTCTCAGCTTCAAAGTTAAATGAAAAAAAAAATCACCCAGAAAACGAGAACAATTAAGAACCTTCAAAAAATCGTTTTTGTCAATTAAAAATGAACAAGCCCAAAATATCCGAACAAGAATATGCGCACTAATAGAAACTTTACAAGGAGCTTTCGGGATGCTAAAAATAAGTCGAAGTTTCAAAAAAGCCCTCTCTGTGGAACTAAGCCAACAAAAATAGACAGACAGGTAATAATTAAAAGTAGGAAAATTTCAATTTGCAAAAAAGCAGGCCTTGTTTGTAAAGGAACTCCTGGGCTTCGTCATCTCCAGAATGAGTGTTAGATCACCTTCGATTAAAGCTCAACCTTCGGTCTACGGGAACTAAGCCCACAAAAATAAACAGACGGACGATAGCGCGAAACAGCACAAAAACTCTATTTGCAAAATAATAGGTCCCACTCGCATTCGAACTACAAGCTTTTGCCGTCTCAAGCAGTTATAATACCTCTACACCAGATTACACCGGATAAAATTTGACTGAATTTACAATTAGCAAGTTGTAACAAAGCCGAAATTGCCTGAGCACAAACGCTTCAAGCCGAAAAAAGCATTGAAAAAATTCAAAATTCAAAAAAATCTCATGTCCCCTTACCATTTAAACACAAAAATACATCGATTTTTTTTCGGTCCATAAACAACGCATTAAGAGGCCACTAAGTCCATATAAACTACGCGGAAACCTATTAAGCCGAAAAAAGACAAAAAAATAAAGAAAAAACTTTAATCGGGTTTAAAAAGTTTAAAGAAAAAAGTAAAAATCGGGTAGGTAAAATACAACCAGGCTAAAAGGCAAACTTCAAAAAGACCAGACATTTAAATTGCTAACATGCTCAAAGTTTGTCTGTTGAAACAGAAACACTCGATAGTAATGAGTCCAGGATACACGAGGAGAGACCTGTGAACAAAATTATTTACGAAAAAAAATCTAGTACACGATTGCAATACCCCTGCTTATCGCAAGGATAATACACGATTGCAATACCCCTGCTTATCGCAAGGATAATGACTGATTGACTTTTTTTTTTATAAAATACCCAATTTTTTCACTAGAAAGTAATTCATCAATCATATCAACCAACGAAAACAAGTATCAGGTCAATCCTGTCTCAACAATTGCAGAAATAACCAGCGATTTTAAAATAGCGCTTAATTTCGGCCAATTTAAAAACTGTACCATCGAGCAGAAGTTCTTACTCAGTTTCAAATCACAATCATTTATATAAATTGAGGAATCTGATATGAATAGCAGCGGAAAATGATATAAATTTTAAAGATAGACTTATTTTCAGCACACTCTGCAGTTGCATGGACAAATATCTGCTCCGTTTGTCTTTTTTCTCTTCACTCGCAGAATGTTCTGTTTAGAAAGGTCTTCGGTCTGGTTACTGAGGGGATATGGCTCTACTCTTTTTTCGGGTTGACTCATGACCACAGTCTCCAGGTTTGAATTCTTTCTCTCTTCGTCGTCTAATCTCGCGTGAAACCTGTCACTCGAGGGATACGTGAATACTCGTAACTCGTCACTATAAAAAATCAAACTTTTTTCAGCGACGTATTTAAATAATTCGTTCATTGACGTATTTCAAAGCTTCAGCTTTTCTTTTGGCCAAACAACCAGACTCGAGCAGCCTGATCCAGTTTTCAAAATAACAAAAAAGATTCCAGGTTGGAACGCTAAACAGAAAAACGCCCAGAATTAAACTAAAGCGATGGAAAATCAATCATAATTATTTAGTTCTTAATCATTGGCGCTGCTGTTCCATTTAAAAAACGCTTGACTTTAGATTGGTTTGACGAAGACAGATTTGATACCATTAAAATTTCTTGAGAGTTCTATAAACAATCAAAAAAGATGCCGGAGAAATTTTTTTGGGCACCCTTACCTGTAATTGGTGTCCATAGCTTCCTTTTCTTTAGCCTTCGAACTGTCGCTTTGGACACCTTTTTCCGTCTGAGAAGACTCTGCCGAAGGCTGTTGATCTATACTTCCACTGGAACCCACCAGCCCCCTTTCCGGACTATGAGGCAATGACGTCAAATCACTCTCTGACTCATACGAAAGAAAATTGAACATCTCATCGACTTGCTCACACAAATTTTGCTTTAGCTGAATGTCAGGGTGAGACTTCTCCGATGAGCTCACGTTGTCAAGACTCACATTTATGTTTTCGAGGCTCACGTTTTCACTTTGTTCTATGTCATGTTCCGACTGCTTCTTGCTGTCCTCGTGATGTGACGCTCGAAGTAGTTCGGAACTGTCGTTCTCCTCTTCTTCGCCTCGAGTGTAAATTGGGGTGCATTCAAGAAGTGAATTGTTTAAAGCAGTATCAACAGTTGCCCAACTTTTCAATCGTGCTACAAAAATACAGCCAATAAAATACAAATAACTTTGGACATTGAATCTTTTCAGCTAAATAAATAGACCAAAGATGCGGTTTTAGGCACTTTTTTCCAATTTTTTTTTAAGAATCAGCGCGCACTCCCCAATCAAGACAGAATACAATGTCGCCAATGGTAGATTGCTCAGCCATTGGTCATAGATGTAAAAAAGGACAGAATTTAACAAGCATTTGAGGGGTACAAACACCTAAGGCCGGATCATCGCAATATCCAACGCTGTATGCCTTATCAAAAACAAATCTAAAATTTACCCTGGCCACTTGATTCATTTGATAGCGGCGCATTTCACCCAGCAACGCCCATAGACCCCCTTTGGTTCAATTTAAGACAACAGCTTTTCGCAGAGTCGCAGACAGTTCTAAATGCGGCAATATGAACTCACTTTGAGCCAAAAAAAGTTTCGGTCACCTTTTTGAAAAATGCCTTAAAATTGTTTATTTTGAATATATTCGCCAGCGGCACAAAAATTTTTGCAAAATAAGGTTTTTATAGTTTTGAGAGATTTCGGAACACCAATTTTCTGAGCACTGCTGAAAATCCTTGACCGCCGAATTCAGTAGAAAAAATTAAGGCAGGCAACTTTTCAGGAAAAATCACACCATCCGAATTTTAAATCTTATTTTTGATTTAAGCGAAAAAAAATTCGAAAATAAAGAAAGACAACTTACGCGAATATCGCTCTTCTGAAATAATAGTCCGATCACGAGTTAAATTCTGCAAACTTCGAGTCTTCTTACGTATTTTTGAAATACCAGGCGAGATAAATTCTTTCCGCGTAACTATATTTGAGTTTCGAACTGTTAAAAATCCGTTCATATTCGTTACTTGAGCACCATTGCCATTGCTAACTTTTTGGTTTTCCTCGATCGGTGGCGTGTGCGAAGTTTGAGCTAACTGTGTAACTACAACTTGACTTTTGTTCAATGAGGGTTTCTGTGCAAATGATAATTGACTTTGTACAATATCATCACGTTTCAGTCCTTTTCTTTTCACTGGTAGCGTTTGATGACCTTGGCTATGCACACTCGATAAATCCGAAACAGTTCGTGTTAATTTCTGAGGAGATTTGTTTCGTTTTCCCTCGTTCAAGCCATGCCAGTCTAACTCTATGCCTGCGCTTTTAACTGCCAAGCAAAGTTCACTGTCCATCGCTGCGAATATTTCTTGTTCTGAAGGTCGATCCCAGATTTTCAAACCTCCAGATTTGAACGGGAGGGAAATGGAATTAGATCGGAAAGGATTCTGTTTTCTTATTTCCAGAAAATCAAAATGATCTCCTGAGTTACCGGGAGCTTCAAAGACATTTGAAGAACGCGTTGAGTCTTCAAGACTATCCGGGGTTAAAATATTTCCAGCACCTATAAAAAAAGCAGTAAAACCAAATAAATTAAAATCTTGTATAAATTTTGCAGAAGTTTTTATTACGGCAAACAGCGATAATAAATTTGGACAAGTACCTTTTTTGTCAGCCTCGGGAGCAAAAATTATCAGTTCTTCACTGCGTTTAATAATTGAAAAATAAAAAAATATTTGATGAAATCATTGTCATACCAGCTACTCTGCACGAATCACAACCGATTAATTATTTAAGGAAACGACTGACAAAGTTTTTAAGTTTTAATGAGCGACAGAATCTAAATGATGGAATGCTCAAACTCAATCTTTTAAAAAATGAATTCATTAAATTGATTCAGCATGAAATCGATTTGAAAAATGTTAAATGAGCAAAATTTGGTTTAGTTCAGTCGTTAAGGACCATTCAAACAAACTTTAAGCGGTTAGCTCACTCGTGGCTAACCCGTTGTTTTCCAGCCAGATAAACTACCCACCCATTTTTCAGCCATCATTGCCCTGTAAAATACCAAACAGATACCATGAACAATAGGAAGTTCATCAACACTTACAACTTGGAAGCTCTATTTTTTTTCACCATTTTTGCTTCCTAAATTAGTTGATTAATGAAAACAAACTTTCAGAAACCTGCTTTGAAAATAGAAAATGAAAAGCCAAGTAAAACAGTAAAGAACAGCTTCAAAACTCGAAAGTAAGCTAACAAAGCCTTAGAAAAAACATGGATGGCCGGCAGCTGTGCAAATTGCACATATTCCGACCACAGCAAAAAAAGTAGGGAACAAAATCAAAGAATTAAAAAAAACTACCAAGTTTCCTATCAATTTTGATCGGTAAAACTTAATGAGGTTAATAGTATAAGGATAATAACAGCAGGAAGGAGACGTCAGCCTCTCATCGCCTCATTTGTAAGTCTCGTGTCAATCAATTTGAAAAACTGGAAAACGCAAAACTTTTTTTGGCGGTAGCAGAACTTGTTGGATATCTAATAACGACCAATAGGGCTTTAATATGACACCAAACCTGACGCTAAACGAGTTTTCTGAGAGGCACTCAAAATTGGGCGGATAAAAGCACAAGCTAATCCATAGTTCGGGACAACACGCAAAACAAACTGAAGTAACAAAAAGATTAAGACACACCTTGAAAAAATTTTGTTGAAATGAGGAGTATCACGTTCTCACACTCGCACCAATAAAGTAGCTAGTTTCTATCAAATTGCGAATGTTCTGCAAAAAAATTCGACCAAAAAACAATAGAATGTTCCGGATTTAAATATCCGACCAATGATAAGGAGTCTCATATCCTCGCATCTGCGAAACGGTTGCTTGGAAGTAAGCTTGTGGCCCAACTAACCCCGCATCTACATGTTCTAATACTTTTAATCATACATTTTACTGATACGGATATGCGTAATTTTCAAAATGTCAAAAAATGGACTTTGCGCCAAACCCTAGTGTTTCTCTGCTTTAGAAGGGAAATAACCGCTTATTTAAAAGGGAAAACTATTACGTGCTCTTTGATTTTTTTCTTAGATTTGGCCGGCTAGTTTTCGTAACAAAAAGTGAAAAAGATTCCAAAAATCGATAAAAATTCAATAGTTTGACTTTTCCTAAATCCATAAACCTTTCTCTACTTAAGCATGAGAATAGCCTGATTTTTAGATTGAAGATTTCCGCACCCTGACTGACTATTCAGATTGAACCCTTATAATCAGATTTAGCAAGTAGTTTTCGAGAGACGTAACTTCTAAGAAAAACGGTAAAAATTTAAAAATGATTTTCTCTGAAGTCCATATCAGCTTTGTAAAAAACAGGGCAAAACAGATTACGCAGTGAAAATCTAAGCATCACGTTAATTTTAAAGAGCTATTAACCTCAGAATGAGCAGGTTCTAATTAGGGAAAAAATATTTTGCCAAAAAACGCAGAGCAGAGCCGCTTACGCAGAGAAAATTAACAAAACTTCTTCTTTTGGTTAAACCTAAATCCCAATAAACCCTTAATCTCCGAAGGGTATTTCTTGAGAAAACTTATGAAAATTAAGCAAAATGTCGAAAAATGGGTTTAATTGAGACCTTAACTTTTTTTAACCAATTTCAAGGAATAGCCACATGACAAGGGGAGATCCCCATAATTTGTGGGTTTTGATTGAAACCTGCATCTCAGATTCGTGCATTTAATATTTGAGAAAAAGAAAAAACTAAAACAAAATGGCCAAAAACCCCCCTGAAACTTTCGAGGGCCGCAGAGCGCGAGAAAAAAGACTCGCAAAATATGCAGGCACATAGGAAAGCAGCCGGTTTTTTCATTGGTGTAATTTTGTTGAAAAACGGTTGTAGTTTTTGAAAAAAAAAATTGAAATTACTGCGAAAAGTGCAAAAACTTTGCAAAACGTCGCAAAAAAAACGAAAAACAACAAATCCCATTCATGTTCAAAATACATCTTTTTTTTCAAAGTGGACCTAACACTAGTTAAAAATGAAGCAGCAACAAATGCCATCAAATTGTTTATCCTTAAATAATCTTCTAAATGATTAAATTGAAATATACCAAATAAGCTATTTAATTCTTCATATTATACACTACGCTTCGCTTGTATAACCATCGGAAGTTTTAACAAGCTGTACTGCATGCACCTTAAAAAAAGAGACATCAAAGGTCAGAAACATTTTTACCCAAAAAACTGCGAAATTGTTTTATAACACAATTTTGATGTATTTTACAAAACTGAAAGCAAGATATTAAATTCCTGGTCAAAAACACAGAATCACAAGTTTTCTTCAACAATATTGAAAAAACCATTGCTGGAAATAAAAGGAATAAAAACTTTCTTTTCATTCCTTGGTTGTTAGATCGAGGCCAACTAAAATTTTTTTGAAATTGTACTCGAAATGCCGTGAAATAATACTTGCACAGAAGATCATTCGTAGCATGTAACTAAGTCAAAAACTAATAGTTAACAAGGAGAGCCGGTTGCTGTGCAAGTAGCTCAGAATGTTCCGACCACATTCTTAAAAAATGACAAAAAATCATTTTTTGCGCGTGGTTGGTGTGATCTGAAAGAAAGACTAGATTCTAGCCATTTCTGATATTCATATTAAAATAGGCATATTGTAAAACAGTTTTCTTAGAAAAATGTCTAATAAAAACAATGAAAGAATTGTTAAAAATTTTATTTAAAAAAAATCATTTTTTTATAGAATTTTTGAAGCTTTTTATTCCCAAGATGACGCTAAAAACTTTAAAAACTTGTTTCACTAGATGTTTCAGTGCTTGAATAAAACACACATGGCTTATTTACCACTAATCTGCAACTAAAAAAATTAATAAGTAAATTGATAGCTGTATTCATAAGCACTACTGTACTTATAGCATTTCCCGAAAAAATTCAACTCGACCTATACAAGTGTTTTACAACGTTCGTTGACACTTACATCGTTCATAGTTATAAAGTTCAATTTCCAAGCAAAAATCAAAGTTCCTGAATATAAACCGTAGCACGAATTTGATATGCTTATACAACAAACTGATGAGGACTGTGAAAGTACATCGAATAATTTACGAAAAAGTTTAAATGCCCGGTTGCAATACACTAGCTAGACGCAATGGTAAACATGCATAGAAAAGATTCTACAGTAGGTGACTATGAGGATGTGCGGTTGACTCAAAAGCACTACGAATCGAAGACTCAGAGCTTTTAATGAAGCAAAATATTGTTTTTACCTGTAATGATTTGCCGTGCGGTAGACTTTGAGGACGAGTCGTTGTCATCCAAAAAACAGCGGATCTCTGTAAACTCCGGTCTAATATTTGGGTTGACCTGCAAAAAGAATGATTGAAAAATATTTGCTTATACTTATTCGACTTCTACCAGCAAGGCAAATTTTCTGATTCATCAACTATGTAGCCAATTACAATGAAAATAAAATTTAATAGAAGTAAATAAAGGGACACCAAAAAACTTCTAAAAATTTCAGAAAAAAGCAAGTCTTTTTTACTAGAACGAGTTTTATCAATTAGCGAAAACAAATTTATTCGCTGATTTTCAATCAAAGAAAAATGCTTCTGTTCTATATTGTGAGGTGCAGTTACTTGCAACGCCGTCTTGATTGAAAAAAAAAACAACCCAAGGCTGCTTTTTGTAAGTCAAATCAAAACCGGAAGTTTTTCTTATAGACCATGTAAAATGTCAAAACTTCATGGTAGCTAGTACTGCTGTACTAATTTGATTATTATCAAGTGATAATTGGCACAGTATATTACTTACCTCTTTGCACTTCTCCAGAATGTTGACAAAAGAAGAGGGGCAGTTGAATTTATTAAGCATTGGCAGGAACAAATTCCAATCAATTCCGAAATCCTGAACAAAAGAAACTTGAAATAATCAAATTATGGTATTGAATATACGTCATTGAAACGGAAGGTAATCGAAGAAGTTCCAGATGCGAAAAGGAAGTAATCAAAAACATAGAGGTATCTTCAGAAACAAAAGGCGAATAGGAAATATCCAATTGACATTTAAACTTCCCCACAGTCTTTGAAACAGTGACGTCAATGGATGATTTTCGTATCTCTCGCGCGTAACTGACCGTATAAAATTTCCCTTAAGTAGGCACTATAGGAGTTGTTTATCGCGTAAAAAATGATGAAAAAATTAGAGTAGTTTTAATTTACATTTGACCGCTACTACATTCTGAAAACCCGACTATTTTTCTTTTTTGTATACCTGAACCTTTTCGATTTTCAGTGTTTGCGGATCTACAAGTTTTTGTGCAAGATATCGAAATCTGGTTGAGTTTTTTGTCTATTCTGATTTCGAACCCACAATTTATCTGGACAATTACTTGCTCCCTTTTTAAAAAGATATTTAAATTTAATCGGCTGATTTTTTTTTCATCTACATAGAGGCGAAGCTGAGCTTCGCACCACTTGCGATACAAAAGAAGAAAGCCACTAAATCAGTAAAAAATCGAAAATGTCAAAAAAACTAGATCTATCAATAAATAAGGCTAGTTTAACAAATTTAAAAAAAAACAGCCGAGACAATCGAATGTGAAACAAGCATCGGAAGAAAAATTACCAAACGGTAACAAAGTCGAAAAATACCTTGGCAGAAATTCCCCTTTAAGCTGAAAAAAAATCAATGGCTGAAGTTAATAAGTTCCCTTCACCCTCAAAACCCAGACACGCTCTGCGAAAGACGCAATATGGCAATTTAAATTTAATCGGCTGAAAATTTTTTCCGATATTTAAATTCAATCGGCTGAAATTTAATATATTTAAATGTAACCGGCTGAAAATTTTTTCATCTACACAGAGGCGAAGATGAGCTTCGCACCACTTGCGATACAAAAGAAAAAAGCTAGTAAATCAGTAAAAAATCGAAAATGTCAAAAAAACTAGATCTATAAAAAATAAGGCTAGTTTACAAATTAAAAAAAAAAAACAATTGAGACCATCGAATGTGAAACAAGCATCGGAAGAAAAATAACCAAACGGTAACAAAGACGAAAAATACCTTGGCAGAAATCCCCCTTTAAGCTGAAAAAAATCAATGACTTAAGTTACTAAGGTCCCTTCACCCTCAAAACCCAGACACGCTCGTCGAAAGGTGAGCAAAAAAATTGTTTTCCTTGAAACGAATCGAAATTAGGTCACTAAACGAAAAAGAAATAGGCCGAAATCATTTGGGCAGAATGAAGTCAAGGTTAGTAGAAAACAGAAAAAGTCAAGTTATGTAAAATTTCAAACATCAGGTTAAAAAGAACATTAAAAGCAACTATAAAGTAAAAAAACTATATAAAAAACAATCATTTCACAATATGATAACTCAGCCGAATAAACATAAGCTGAAAAAAAAATGAGCCGACATTTCTTTAGTGAAGCTGACAATTTTTTTAGATTACCGTTTCTAATTTTAACCATTCTGTGCCTAAAGTTATTTACGGGAAAAAAATCTGGTACCCGATTGCAATACCCTTACTATCCCAATGGTAATTAAATATGCATATCGACTTCAATAAATTTCCACAACATTTTGCGAGCGAATGTAATGTTTTGCCTAAAAGACCAAATAGTCCACAAAAAATTTTGACTAATTACCAAAACAGAAAATGTTTGGAGCCTAGCTATCCTGACACAGCTATCCTTTATTGCCTACCTATACTAGCCTACCCTTATTGCATCGTACCGCCAAGAAAACCTTAACTTAGGTAAATTTTAGCAACAAAGTCACTCATAAATTGATGGAAGTTTTGACTTTGAGACAGTTAATATTAGATAAGGAAACTCACATTAGTTCTAGGGAGGAAATCTGGATCTGCGTCTACTTGAGCACAGAGTTCACACAGAACTATTCCGAACGAGAACACATCAATCTACAAACACACATGCACAACGGCAACATTTAAAAAAAAAAACAAGCATCGATTAGATTTGAAGCAACCTTTAAATCTGATATTACACACAAATCTATGTGCAAACAGACTATCTTATTAAAACGATCGGCTCGAACCATATGATCGGCTATCAGAAAATTGGATGAAACGCCACCATTGCTTTTTTTGCACTTTGAATAAACTGTGCTCACTTTGTGATCATACGGCTCGTTCTCTCGTCTGCTGAGACATTCTGGTGCCATCCAGAATGCTGAACCAACCACGGGAAGCTTGACTGCGTCTCTACAATCACAAAATTCGGAAAATTTCGATTAAATGTTGGGATGTTACAGGCTCAGCTATGCCTTCTTTTTGCTTAATATTGCTATTTTTGATTTTTATTTGTTGTTCCGACTTTCGATACGAAAGTAACGGAATATTTGTGCTCGGGGTGGGTTTTTTTTTCTTCAGACAAAATTCGACTTTTTAACTAGCCATTTTTGACGGAATTTTTTTTACATCATTCGAAAGGTATTGTTGTCCTGAGCTCAAATTTGAAAAGATATTTCACCTGTGATCATTTGTCGTAAAGTTACGGGGGTTTAAAGATTGCCATTTTGGCCGATTTGGGACAATTAACGCGCGATATATTTCGCGCTATTAACGCGTAAGCCGAGAGTTAATCCGTCTTAGAAATCGTTCCAAGTTGGTTAAAAGAAGCTTATTTGCCATAATTGGTTTGTTAAAAGGAACGAAATCTATCCTTTTGTTCTTTGTATGGCGTGTGGGGGGATGATTTTCATAAAAATTTTCAAATTTTAGAAATTTTTTTTTTGATTTTGTTATATTTCATTGAATTTTTAAATGTTATTACTGCTCCATAAATCTTAAAAGGCAGTCGGAACATTCAGGGCATCGCCCTGATACGAGCAGTCTTGTTATCTTTATTACCATGGATAAATTAAGGAGCTCAAGTTCGATAAAAAAATTATTTCTTGAGCGAAATAATTCCGATAATCTAACTTACTGTTTTGACGGAATTTGGATGGCGAGTCCAAAATCACCTACAACTGCGCGCTGAATTCCTTTCATTTCATCTTTCTCCAGAAATACATTCTAAACATATTTTTTAAAGAATTAGCACTAATTTCAACTATGAAGTTTCCGTTTAAACGGGCTAATGTAATTATAGTGAACAGAAAAAAATACAGAACTTCGAAATTACAAGGAAAAAATTAGATGACCTTAAAGCTCTTTGAATTTTTGGAGCAATTTATGATTGAAACTTTTCTGATAAAATTAACCCAACTTGAGAACACTGGAACCATAGGTAAAATTTATTTCGCTAGAAAACTATAATTAAATTCCATTTTCGAAACTAGATGTTTTCGCGACTTTTACACTCTAACTGTTCGATAGAGGCGTTTGCCTTCCTTTTAACAAAGAAAATGAACTGAAGTTAGTATCAAAAGAAAAGTCAAACGGCGAAACGTAAATTTGAGCCAGAACTAATTTCAATACTTTTTCTGACGAAAAATGAAAAAAAAAAATCGCGACCTATATAATACTCAGAACTACGTTTATTTCATCGACTCTTAAACAGCAGTTTCATATACTAAGTTCAAATAAAAACTTTGTGTCTTCAAAGATTCAAATATAAATTTTTTTGGCTTCGTCGATCTTCGAAAAAAAACAGACACTTACTTTTGAGGCTAAATCCCGGTGAAAAAATCCTTGCTTGTGCAAGTACTCCATTGCAGCGGCAATTTCTTTAGCAATGAACCATTTCGAGTTCCAATCAATTGCAGCTTCCGAGGCAATGAACTCTGCGAGTGAGCCCCCATTCATAAACTAAACAAATAATGATTTAAAGATTCCCTGTAAATGATGCTGAGAATGATTTTATCCAAAACCTATTACCTCCGTGAGAGGGTGCAAAGCTCCTTGCGAAACACAAACTCCTTTGAAAGCGAGGACATTTCGATGATTAAGCTGCCGCAGTATTTGTATTTCTCTCAAGCAGTTGAATTTGTTCTGAATATCCAAATTAAGCTTAAGAGCCAAAGGATAACCATCCTCTGTTGTTACCTAAATATAAAAAATGATCCCGATAGAATATATTTCAAAGAGGTCAATTTCATCAAAGCTAGAGAAACATTTTTGTCTTCGATTATTGTATGCTTTATTCAGCTTTGTTCCACTTTAGTTATCTCATGAACTATTTAAAAACATTACACGAACACTGAACAGAGCTTATCATCAATTAGTTTAGAATTCAACAAAACAAAACAAAGTTATATTTGTCTTTTAAAGCTAGGCTAGCACAACTGCATTGCATTACACGGTTTTTTCTCTTGAATCAATTTTTTGAGGTAATCAAAAGGTCAAAAATTACTAAGTTAACCTAAGTTACTTCACTAGTACAAACTAAATCATGTAGTCCAGACAAAAACCCTATGAATCAGGGAAGTATAAAAGGAAAAAATGTAAAAGCGAAGCCGAGCTTCCCATCACTTGCGACGCAGAAAATTTAGAAACTGCGAAAAATTTCAAAAATTGTGTTTTTCATCATCAGCAAAAAAAAGCGAAATAAGAATATACAAGCAACTATTTTAGTGAATATGACGCATAATAATGAAAAACTCAAAAACTCCTTTTTCTGATTTAATTTACAAGTAGGAAAAAGATTTAGATTACTATGCAATTTCAAATCATTATACAAGAGCCGAGACAAAACAGCTGAACAAGACAATTCGACTGAAAAAAACTATAAATTTTCCCAAAACCTTTCCAAATAATTCAAGAACTAGATTTTTTCAAAAAAAATCCAGAAAAAAACATCGGGAAAATAAGCCGACAAAATTAAGGCCGACCAACCTTCAGCGGAAAAAAAGAACACTTACTGTGGACCCCAACCACATGCAACCATCATAAACTGATCACGCTGTTATATTATCAGTTCATGTTGAATAGTTGATATTGATTACCATTTCTTCCATTCTGTGAACAAATTAATTTACGGGGCAAAAATCTAGTCCCTAGTTGCAACAGCCTTGCTTATCGCAAGGGTAAAAGAAAAGTTAAAATGAGTTTACATGATAACGCTCACAAAAATTATAATTAGTAGCAAAAAAGTTCGGACAGACAGAATTAATTCAAATGAGCAATCAGTGCTTTTCGACGCTTTTCTTCATGCAAAATCTGAAGCGAACAACCTTGGCTTTTTTGTCAGACCAAACTCAAAATGCGAGATTGTCGATTATCCGATGATTATGCTAGCCTAATTTTTAAATACTGCGATGAACATACAGATTTTACTATGAAACATTTCGACACTAAATAAAAACAGTAAATTCGCACTACAGCATTTTATGTAAATTCGAATTTTGCTGCATTCTGATTGGTCGAAACTTCCCTGCAAGTAATCTTATTAACGATCTCCTCCCCCTTTGAAAGAGGGGTTGTTAAGTAGATCCTGTAAGTGCTTTATGAACTTTCGACGTTATGTTTATTTCAGTTTTAATTTCCGTTGATGTCTAGACAGTTGCTCTTTTTAATTAATTCTGTCTGTCCGAGCTTTTTGAAAGTCTCTATCTTTAAAACAAGAGCTTACGTATAAATTTCTTCAAAAGTATTTCAAATCCTTAATTGTGCCGAGGACACATGCAGCATTTGCAACCTGTACTGCGAGGTAGACTCTGTTTAAGAAAACTACTTGCAGTGGATTCCGCAAGAGTTTTTAGAACACACTCGAGACATTCTTTTTAGAATAAATATGGGCCATTCTTATAAAAAAAACATTGCTGCTCACTTTGTATACATCAGAGTAGAAACCTTTGCCGATCAATATTTGCACTTGAAAATCATCAGTGTGATAAAGAGACAGAACTGAACTCTTCTCAGATTTATACGACTGATGGCCGTTGCACGACTTTGTGCCGCCATTGTCGTTTTGCTGTGTCATCTTGCGCGGGTAAAAACCATTTTTCTCATTTCATCTGAAATTTGGACTAGTTTGTCAAGCAGATATTTCTCGCACGAAAGAATTTATCCAAAAAAATTGGCAGCAATTCCATTGGTGCCTCAACTTTGCCCCCAGGTAGAGATCCTGAACTAAAACAGTTCATAACTCTTAGGTTTTCGTCCATTCGATAATCGCTACCTTTTAGCGGTTATTCCTAACTGCCGAAATGAACGAAAAATAGACCCCAAGTACAACCATTATACTAATACTACTACTACTACTAAAAATTTTTTTTCCTTATATAGGCGGCAGAAATACAAAAAAAACCTAAATTACAAAAGGGGCCCTTCCGTTTAGTTACGGTAAGTGCACAAGCTGGATAGGGCCATGACAGCGTTAAAAAATGCATATATATCAGCAATGAAGTCATAAATCAGCATTAAATGCATTGTCGTAATGTTAATTTATCTTAGCCGTCCTTCCTCTTGTTCCAGTCGGTCATATTTGGAAGTTTGACCTTGAGAGAAGCAAAAAGCACTTAATTTTGGAGTGAAATTTAATTTTTCAAAATTTCGAATGGAACCTGTCATGCACGATTTTCTCGCGATAACTGAAAATCAGAAAAGATGTAGCATTCGCCCGGAAGATACATATCGACGGATAAATAAACTAAGTCTTAAGACGACTGGCTAGCGTCTAAACAGAGCTTTGCATGTTTTTCACCGTCTCTACCAAGCCAGTACTTTTCGGTGGTCTTTTCTAACATCGGGTCGACAAAAACGTTACTGTTCTCCGGCTTCGACCAGAACGCTCAAATTAACTGAATTACATGCAAAAATAGTGAGCTCATGGCTGGGTCTCAGTATCCGCAGACCACGAGGTCACTCCTAAAAACAGGGCTACTATTTATTATATTACTATTGTTTTTGTTCAGTAGATAAAAATCATCATCTCCATCGAAGATGGATCAACCCTTTCCCCCAACTCTTAGCACCTCATCCTTGTCAAAACTAATCCAAATATCAATTAAATTCAAGTCAGGACATGACAGGATGCTAAAAGTTCATATGAGTCAATAAAAGTTTTCCGTCCCGAGACCCTTCCGGATTCTTGAATCCGGTGAATCAAGCTCCTCAAGTTCGAATTCACGATAACACGGAAGGCTGGTTTCTTACCCTTCACCGTTGTTCGCAACGGCCTTGTAACTATTGTAGCAGCACAATAGTTGCAACTCGGAACGTTCTCTGCAATCTGCTGCTGTTTTTCTTCAATTTCGACTTCTTCAATTTCGATAAAGTTGTTCTCGTCAGCGCAACCAACGTTGTTGTTCTGTTCTTTCACTCGTTTTTTTGTTAAAAATGGCCGTTTCAGCATTTCTCAGAAATGTGACGTCATCATTCGAATTTTTGAAATTTTAAAATACTAGAATATTCCAGCCTTCACCGTTTGGCTAAACGTTCCAATAACGCCCTTAGTTCCTAAAAACCACCAATCCGGAAGGCTTACTGCTAAAATTCCGAATTCTGCAGAGATTGCATTTTTCACATTCTGGTCGAATGTCACAAGAGAAGTCAGAACGATCGAGTGACAATCGCGGGAAAGTTGCTAGAAAAATCAGTGGGAAATTGCTAATCGCAATTTCAGTAGCGATAATAATCCAGAGTAGAGCTGTCCCATCTAGAAGAGAGACGAGCGCATCCCCACGAACTGGATTGTTGTGATTGGAGTATTATTCTAAACTGGACTAGAGTGAACCTTCGGTGGAAAGGTGGACAGCTAGAGTGTCCCAATGGTTCACGAGAACTGACATTCTAGAGTACAAACTTGCTCTTGTTATTAAAACTGACAGACATTAAACTCATTTTAGTTACATTATTTAATTCTCGAGTTGATTACCGACTTGATTACTCCCAGTTCTTGAGCGTGCTACAATGTGAGTACTAATTTAAATTTCTAGAGTGTGTTTTATAATTGTTATGTTGAGGTAAGGCGAGTTTTAGGTTGATCCATCTGAAATGGATCAAAGTTCCACTGTCTAATAAAAAGTAACTTAACGGATTGTTCCGACCCGGTTTTTAACGGCGTTCATGTATTTTGGGTATCTAGAGACCTAAGTATGGGGACGTTTCCAATTCTAGAGTGGGGGGATATTTTAGTAGTAGCCTTTAAGCTGTAACGGGTCGTAGTCTCATGTCACAAGCGAACCGAATTGGCTCCGACTGATTTGAGGTACAAAAACACAAGAGATAGTGTCCCTGACTCTTGAGCCAATGGTTATAGGGCCTATTTTTCTTAAGCCTCATGTGTGACTGCAGTAGACGAATGTTACATAGTGTTTTTATGGCGCTCCTGGGTGTTTACGACATCAAGACTACGGAGTCGAACCCACTTGAGACAGCTTCGGGCTGAATGCCCATTCTAGAGTACCGGCGGTACGGTTCGACAGGAACGTGCAAACCTTCCGGTTGTACCGTGATAGCTTTTTAAGAAAACTCAAGAAAACTTCCTGGTACGCTCTCCGAACGAGGCTTAGCTAACCGAGTAAAGGGGGGCAACTAGGGGGACAAAAACACGAGCAAAAAGACAAAAAGCGAAACAAAAACCATAAAACGAAAAAAGACAGTGACTTTGACACCAGATTAGTTGGATCAAACCTTTATATTAATTAAATAGTATACCCATACTGTTTTACAAGTTCGATCGTTTCGATCAACCTAATAACTTAACCCAGTAACCTTAATAAAGAGCCCGAGTGTGGGGCGTTGTCAAGGGTTTTCAGATAGCTTGGAACTTAGCTGGACAACAAGGAGACTTGACTGGAAGAGGCGACCAGCCGAGTGGGAAAGTGGTTCAGGAGCACTTGAGCTGAACCAATAGGAGACTCGACTGGAAGAGGTGACCGGCCGAGTGGGAAAGTGGTTCAGGAACACTTGAGCTGAACCATTAGGAGACTGGACTGGAACAGGTGACCAGTCGAGTGGGAAAGCAGCCAAGAAGGATTTGGCAAATCTCGAGTTCGCAAGTTGGGCAGAACGGGTATCGTTAAAATCCAAATTACATTATAGGAGATAAGTGTAAAATTGGATAAGCGAAACCCCCCGGTTTTGAGGAACGTTTTTACTTGAGCAGGCCTGGAGACAGGTCTACGGTTTTCTCTTGAGAGGATTAGCACCCGGCGCTTAAGGTGATTTTAGGCTTAAGAAGGGGGGCTAAAAAGGTGGGAGGTTAGAAGGGGGGCTGGTTAAGTTAGAGGTTGGCGGTTGTAAATTGTAAAAAGGGGAGAAATTAGAGTAATTAATTGGTCGACATCGTTGATTTATTTACATTAGTCATTTACACGCGTTGGTCATAGGAAACGGATATCCAAAATTGGAATTAGGTTAAGGTAGGTACCCTGGTCGGATCGGTAGGGGGGAACGGACATAGACAGTTTTTGTGATACCCCATAAGATCGCTAGCAGGGGGGAAGGAAACGCGTGGCAATTAGGTACCAGACATTTTTTTTTCGACGAAAGGTAGACATTGGTCACCTTTGAAATTTAGGTGGGCTCATATTTCAGTTTTTATTACTTTTTCTGGCTTGGATTTTTTGTTGCATTTTGGGGAGGATTTGTGTTTAGTTTTTATACGAACAGGTGATCACAAGATACCTGCGCACAGGTTTTGGTCTCAAGTTGCTTGGATCATTGAAATAGAGGTAACTAAAAAGAAAAAAGAAAAAAGGGGGGTCAGCATTTGGCTTTTAAGAGAGGGTTTTTGGGAAAATTTTACTAGAGCTTGAGTGGTGGTACAAGGCACAGTGAATCAAGAAGTCCCCATAACGAAAAAGAGAGAAGTCCCACCGCTCAGACACTTGTCAAACAGCCTTGGGACAGTGCCAAAGAAGTCCAGGGACAGTGTTGGACCAGAACAGTCTTGATACAGTCTTGGGACAGTGGTCTTGGGACAGTGGTCTTGGGACAGGGTCTTGGGACGGTGGTCTTGGGACAGTGGTCTTGGGACAGGGTCTTGGGACAGTGGTCTTGGGACAGGGTCTTGGGACAGTGGTCTTGGGACAGTGGTCTTGGGACAGTGGTCTTGGGACAGTGGTCTTGGGACAAGGGTCTTGGGACAGTGGTCTTGGGACAGTGGTCTTGGGACAAGGGTCTTGGGACAGGGGTCTTGGGACAAGGGTCTTGGGACAGTGGCCTTGGGATAGTAGTCTTGGGACAGTAGCCTTGGGACACTAGCCTTGGGACAGTAGTCTTGGGACACTAGCCTTGGGACACTAGCCTTGGGACAGTAGTCTTGGGACACTAGCCTTGGGACAGTAGTCTTGGGACACTAGCCTTGGGACAGTAGTCTTGGGACACTAGCCTTGGGACACTGGCCTAGGGACAGTAGTCTTGGGACACTAGCCTTGGGTCAGGGGTCTTGGGACACTGGCGGAGTACTGGGACATTACCGAACAGTCTTGGGACAGTAAAAGGAAGCCTGGGACGGTACGAAGAAGAGTAGGGACGGTAACTGGAAGTCTTAGGACAGTATAAAAATTGAAGTAAAATTACAACAAGTTGTTTTAAGACAGAATTAAGACAGAAAAAGACTAATTGGAACCCGGTACGGTTGGGACCACGAATAAAGAAAGTTACTCGAAGATTTTAGAGAACTGGAACAAGGTTTTTATCACGTTGTATATTTTCTTTTAAGAATTTGTTTCCACAAATTTTTTTTTATTCTTAGAATAGAATTGTGTATATAAGAATATTGTAAATAAGGGAAATTGTAAAGAGGAATAATGAAACGGAGTAGGGTACCGGTGCTTGAAAAAAGGTCAAGTGGATCAAACACGAAATATAACTCGTCGCTGCCTGGAACAACATCAAGGGGCCCAGGCAAAACAAGAAATAACTTTTCAGTTAGCATGGTCAGCACGAGGAGTGGCACCGAGAGCAAGACGCGAGAAGATGCGAGGGAAAAAGAGGTGGAGCCTACAATCGAAATCGACCTAGAGACACCAGACCAGAGCGTAGATGAACTGGAGAAAAAGA